AACTCATACTATCGACGGTCAATACAATTAAAACTGTATTCCTTCACAAAACAAAATCAAGTTAGTTTATTGTATGAACCATTTTAGAACAAAATGTATTTTGAGAATTCACATCTATAGAAGGCGTTGGTGTCCAAAATCAAATTACTTGTCCCCGGCCTGCTATTTTGAAGAATGAAAACATTTCCATATGAATATTTCAAACTGCCCTCATCTTCTCTGTAAGGATGTTTAAATGTACACAGTTCTACACAGATTTAATGATCGGTTCCATTCTACCATAAAGGGACTCCTGGAGAGGTCCAGCTGATGAACATTCTGCAATAGCTTCTCATCGCTTTGAACTCAGACCTTTCAAATCAGCTGAAAGGCTTCTCAGACCCTGCTTTTGTAATATTGCCGTTAGTTTTACAATCACTATTTAAACTGCACCATAGGTCCTCTGCTTTGACATGTTCTACATTCTTGAAGGTACCCTTATATTCCTTGTCTAGTATATCCTGTGGCCTGTGTTCTATTATGTTACATAATAAAGATGTTGATTATTGGGTGTGCAAGGTTAATATTCCACCCGCTATAGAAATTGTACTCTGCAATCATCTACAGATATCACGTTTTTCCTTCTAAATGTTTGTGCTTAATATATAACAAAATCTGAACTAAATCAAACAAGATGACGCAGTATAAATGATAAGTATAATATTTAAAAGAACCCCTTTAAAGAAAATATCAATTGGTATTGTATCTATTAGAATGGTTAAACAAAGAAAAAAGTGGAATGAAGCACCTCTCACAAATAGTGAGCGGAGTTCAAACTCCTCCACAAATGTATACCTCCTAATATCAATGTAACATAGGGTGGGGGAAAAGAAAAAAAAGGAATATAAACCTTTATTGGAAAGTTAAAAATTCCTCCAGTCTTGGAGAATAATAGAACAATTTGTCAATGGTAAACACGTCAATGCACCGACTCGGTGTGCAGATAGCCTAAAGTATACTACTCATATACGGAATTATATCAAAGTTGCATGGCTCTAAGTCATATGTATATGCAAATTCCCTATGGGTGTATATTTAGAAAAGCCCTTTCTGTGGGGCAAAAAGATATTAAAAAAAAATTGACAATAATTCAAAATTTATACTGGTAGGGATATATATATTGCCTGGTAGCAGTAGTGAGACCAAAGAGAGAAACAGGTTTAGTCACTATTCCGGGAAAAAGGTTAGAGAAGGTAAATGCTCACTAGTTTAGAAACTTGATAAAGCTCAGCTCTTGATAAAGGCGTATCTAAACGCCGAAACGCGCGTCGGGCTTTTCTTTTTGCCGATGCTATTGTTTTACCATGTCCTCTTTAGGCACTCGACACTCTTTTCACTCTATTTCTTTTTCTAGTTTAAATTCCTTTTTTTGGTCTTTATTTTGCACTGATGTTATGATAGGGATATTTCTGAGGCTGCCTTGAAGTAGCAGTTTAGTTGAGTATGCCATTGTATGAGTTAGACAGTTAGTCCAGGGCAAGCTAGGTTTTTCTGGTGGGTGCACCTGAGGGCTCCCCCCCCCCCCTTTTGATATCTACTGAGTATTACCAGCTTTAAGTTCTCTTCCTCTATGCACTGTATACCCTTGTGGGCAACATTTATTTCTTGAGAGATTGAGCTACATGAAGTGTATACTGATAATATCATTATGTAGATGGTTATGTCTCCGGTTTCTAAACTAGTGAGCATTTACCTTCTCTAACCTTTTGCCCGGAATAGTGACTAAACCTGTTTCTCCCTTTGGTCTCACTACTGCTACCAGGCAATATATATATATATATCCCTACCAGTATAAATTTAGAATTATTGTCAAAAAAGTTTTTGTATCTTTATATCTTTTTGCCCCACAGAAAGGGCTTTTCTAAGTATACACCCATAGGGAATTTGCATATACATATGACTTAGAGCCATGCAACTTTGATATAATTCCGTATATGAGTAGTATACTTTAGGCTATCTGCACACCGAGTCGGTGCATTGACGTGTTTACCATTGACAAATTGTTCTATTATTCTCCAAGACTGGAGGAATTTTTAACTTTCTAATAAAGGTTTATATTCCCTTTTTTCTTTTCCCCCACCCTATGTTACATTGATATTAGGAGGTATACATTTGTGGAGGAGTTTGAACTCCACTCACTGTTTGTGAGAGGTGCTTCTTCCCTTTCACTTTTCTCTTTGTTTAAATTTTCCTCGGGGTTAAGCCCCTTATACCTCTTGTAACCTCTATAGAGGCTGGGGAGCTGGCTAGTCCAGTTCTCTATAGCCTCTATCTCTTTATCTATTAGAATGGTTTCAACATATAAGACGTATTCGTACATGTTGCATTTTTTTTTGACCATACCCAATCTTCATGCACATGATCTTGGTAGCGGCCCAGTGGTTGTTTGCGTATAAGAAAGATTGTAATGCGTTCAGTAGAATGCCCATTTGTATTATTACAGAGGATTGTTTAAAATATTTATTGAAAAAAAATTGGGAATTGTAGAGAATTGACCAGGCAATAACCAAAGACAGGCAGGAGCTGCTAGATAAATGCACCTAGCTAAGAGCAGGGCGACTGGAAGGAAGCCCTGGTGTCATGCTGAGTTAGTTAATGCTGTGTAGGTACACGTGTGAAACATTCCACAGCAAATGGATTGACGAGAAAAAGAATCTGACATTCCAGCTGCTGTAGAATGGTACACGACGCATTATGGCACATGTGTTTTTCGATTTCGTGGTTAAGATGTCCTGAGAATTCAATGAAAATTTCTCTTATTACACACTTCAATATCATATAAACCATCACCACTGTCGCTGTCTAAAATATTAAGTATATGTGTACATACTGTAAATCTGTATGTTGCATGTCTCTTTAACCCTTTAAGGACCAAACTTCTGGAATAAAAGGGAATGTCACACGTCATGTGTCCTTAAGGGGTTAAAACAGAATTCAAGCAGATTAAAACTATCCTTGAAGTTTAATGAATGCACATTAAGTCGTATATCAAGGAAATGGAGTATCCGCATAACAGAGTGGAAAGCCCCCATTGTATATACATTATATACACACAAATAAAGTCACCCTAACTAACTCCGCTCTTTCAGCTAATGCACATATGAAAATATAATTTGCCGGCTACTGCAGAGCTTGTCTGTAATTCCTGATGTCTGCTTTATTGCATTCACAGTAACTAAAACTCCAGAAAAAAACTTGGTGTTGCTTGCTCAAGGCTCTCACTAACCTCCTTGGAAGAAAAATGTTCCCTTGTCTGTCTGGAGCGAGCAGATTTCGGCTTTCTCTGTCCACTTGAACGCATCTCAAGAAAATCTCAATTTACAACATCCTGTCTATTGCTTAAACATTCCCTTTCTCTAAAAGAAACGTCCATGATACGTTGTTTAGTTTTACTGGGTATCTGTACAAAAATGCCCCTAATACTTATGGTGTCGGAACTGAACAAGTAGCTAGTCAGTCAATATAGAAAGAAAACCGCTAACCACACATTGCGTTACGTTCCATAATTTGATTATTTAAAAGTATCATTTAATTTTACTTAAACCTTTATTTTTAAAGGACAACTGTCAGCTCAAATCTATATATTTTTTTTTTAATGCAGTCACTCCTCACTTACCAACCAGCTTCTGTTCTTACGACCCGGTCATAAAACGAATTGGTCGGTAAGTGATTATGAGCTACAGAGCATGCGCACCAGTGCAGGTCTATGTTCTGGGAAATTTCCCCCCAATAGACAAGCGCATCAGAGCCTCAAATCTATGTTCTGGGAACGTTCCTCGAACATAGATTATATAGATTCCCTGCTCTCGTGCTTTTTTCTATGTTCGGGGAAATTTACTCGAACAAACATATGCACTAAAGCAGGGAATCCCTCTAATCTATGTTCGGGGAAAATTCTCTGATCGTAGACCAGCTCGCTAAAGTGGGGAGTCCCTTGAATCCCCACGCTAGAGAGCTGGTCGTAAGTGCGAGCCATGATAAAACAGGTAGGTCCTAAAGTGAGAACCACCTGTACAATAATCCTTTCATCAAGTTTTAAAAGGAAATAGATTTTTTTTTTTTATTAAGTTATGTGCAAAAGAAAATAAATACCTTTAGTATATGACAGGATTCTTTAACCAGATACATGCACCGTGGCTCAGACAGTGTTTGAAAACAACAGTTTCTATGGTCTTCCCTGCTTCAGTCCCTACACAGAATTAAGGAAAACCATAGAGACAAACAGGTTCTAAGTGAATTTTAAGTGTAAGCTCAAAATAGCCAAACTGGGTTACTTCTCTAAGTCGTCTCTATGATTCCAGTTTGACTACTCTTGCCTTAAATGTTAACTTTGCTTTGAAATCTTAGTTTAGTAAATAACCCTTTAACTGTTTTCAAACACTGTCTAACCCAAGGTGCATGTATATGGCTAAAGGATCTTGTCATATACTAAAGGTAGAGAACAGTTTCTTAATTTATTTTTATTTATTTTTTTACACATACATAATTAAAAAAATATATATATCCTTTCAAAACTTGGTGATAGGATTATCTTAAAATAGTTTTGAGGTGACAGTTGTCCTTTAAAGCGGCATTGTCACACCGAACTTACCTCTCTCCTATTGCTGCCTTAAATTATGTCTGCTGACAGGGTTTACTAATACCTGTCTTAACATGGATATTTATAATTTACATGTTAATTATATTATGTAATCACATTTAAGGGTAGTAAGTCCTTCAAAAATGAATGTGTGTATATAAAAGTAGACATACATGTTCCATAGATAACAGATTACTGGGAGTTACAGTCCAGGGCAGCAGCTATTTCAGCTGACAATTAAAGTGGTGACAGGAGCCACTCAGTAGTATAACTCTCACTAATCCCAAACAAGTAAGGATATTTTTATTAAGGTAGAAAATTCAAGGAAAGCTAAACAGACGTATCGCAACATTTAAATCACAGAAAAAAAAAAAGCGTAGACTTTTTTTATTTCCAAAGCAAATTGATTTTATTTCAAAGACAAGTTTCCTTCTAGTATTGCTGAAGGGATCACATCCTGTGGAATTGATCATAACATACAAAGTCCCTGTCTTAAGTTCAAGTGCTCTGATACATTCTTTTTGAATAGAAATAATGACCTGCAAGGTATATAAAACTACTCGCATTCTGAAATGCACAAAATGTAAATTTCCATTGCTTTGTTCAGGATAGAAAAAAGACAATTCAAGTAGTAAATTCAGGTTTTTTTAATCCCTTAACTTTTAAGGTCACTGGTATATGTAGATCAAAAATATCTTTAAAAAAAAAAAAACATCGGACATGTTCTCAAGTTTTGTAACCACTCACTAAAAAAAATAAAAAAATTAAAGGAAGAGCAGTTATTTTGGTATTTTGGACCAGTTATTGGTATATGCAAATACACATTTTTCTTTTTATCCTCAAACTTTTTATATTTTTTATTTTTTTTTAAACAAAAACCTGCACCAAAATTATGGCAGACACATTTAAGTTTATAGAATGCCCATCTGAAAATTCATTGAAAATAGAGATGCTTTTTTTGTTTTTATTTTATTTTTTTATTTCCCAGAACTGTAAAAGCCATAAAAATGCAAAAATATCTATTACATTTTTTATTTGTATAAATTCCTCCTGAAAATTCCTCATTTAACTAACAAAGTCAGTGAGTGAAAAGTTCACGAAACTAAATAAATTTTAATCCACTGCTGTACATAATAGCAATCTTAAAAAAAAACAAAAACTGAGGCTTCTTAAAGTAAAGAGGCACCAAACACTTTTTTTTTCTTTGAATCTTTGCTTGTTTAGAAGAAACAAAGACTGAAATTACACCTAGTCATGACAAAACGGCATGCACTTTTTAAGATACATTGCCATTTAAGCAGAGCACTGCATACCTCAGTGTAAAACATGTACGCCAGCCTGGTTGCAATCTGCAGTGTGATACACATCTGTATGTTGAATCTATAGAGGGGACCCTAACAAATACCCCTGTACAGATTACATAGTAAAACAAAGATCTCTCAAAGCAGATCATTACTAGTCATTGGACTGCAGAATATCAATGGGCTGGGACGTGCTCTGATGTCGTCAACGTGCTATCAAGTGGTGGTGTAAAAACAAAAACAAACAAAAAGAAAACAATTATCTGTAGATTTACACAACGGTTTTACAGCACTTAGGCGGTGACACGATTTTAACTTTTGCCTCTGTCAAAGAAGCAAAACTTAAAATAAAAGTTTAAAGTCACTTTAACACTTTTAACACAGCGGAATATGTGCAGTGCAATTTACTGCATTGAACATACCCCTGGCACTCAGAGTTAAATTATTAAATCAGTTTAAACTAATAGTTTTCTATAAATATATATTTTTTGTTTTGTTGTTTTGTTTTTTTGTTTTTTTTAATTTTTTTATTTTATTGACAAGCAGAAGAACATCTGACAACCCAGTGTGAGCTTGCCATTATTTTAGAACTATTTTCAAAGGAAAACTGGTGAGTAACTGTGTTTTCAACTTCGCTTTGCAAGTTTGGTCCCACATACTTAGCTACTCGGCAAAACACTGCCAATGCGGAGACCATGTTTTATGTCTTCAGTCATATCCAACCATTCTGATTTGTCCATGTAATTTCTTTTTAACAAACTGAACAGGTGAAAACATTCCACTTGTCAACTCATATGTGTATACATATCTACATTTACACATATATACATATATATTAAAATAAAAATACCCAAAGGCAGCCAGAGAAATTCAGAATGCGCATGACAGATGAGGCACTACCATGTGAAGAAAGGACAAAGTACCCTATAGAAGCACTGTGATTCAGTTATTTTCGATTTGCTCCAAATCCAAGTCAGCACAATCTATGGGAAAGATGCCACCCTCGGAACTCTCACAGTCACTACTATCCTCGTCACTTTCGCTCACGGTGGTATCACATTTATAATCCCTTGTGCCTGCTACACGACAAGGCAGACTGTGCTTTCCTTCTGAGGTCTCCTTCAGAGGGCTGGTTCCGGGAGTTATGATATTCATGAGGTCGTTGGAATCGCAAGGAGATGAGACGATTGTCTTCAAATGTGAATCTTCGTCGTCTTCATAGTCAAGTGAACAAAGGCTTTTAGAAGTCTGCAATAAAAAATTAATAAATATATAGATGTTAAACATGTATTCGTATAGTTTAAGAAAATTGCACATGTTCTATTTTGTAAATTTCCAAACTACATGTTTGCGTAGGGACAAGTTCCGAGATCAAATACTTTCTGCATACACAGGCATTCTATATACAAATGTAATAATGCACACACATACACCACAACCTTTCTGACAAACAGTTCAATGGACTTTTTTTTTTTTTTTTTTAACTGTCCTCATGAAAGCTTATGTGCTAAACTGACATGTTTACCTAGCAATACATTTTGATACTTTTGGAGAAAACCGAAACCACAGAAGTGCTTTTTCAGAAATGTTGGTGCATAATTGCATAATATATTCCCCTACACAAAAGATATGAAAAATCTATTTCAAAAATAAAGTTACACAACAACTTTTTGGTCATAGGGCAGTAGCAAAGAAGCACAGCTGTTGTGTGGCTGATTCTACAGTATTCTGGAGATAGTCAGAGAGACAAAGTCAGATAACACCAAATCATGCTTATCTACATGTCAAGGGTATTTCAGTCCTCCTTTGCCAGCCAAGGTTGATTTGGGTCTTCAAAATGTGTTTGTGCAATAACATGTGAAACTTCTAACGAGTACGTTTCTACAATACTCTGCACAAACTATCACGAAAATTGGCACACAGAGTTCCAAGGTCTTTCCTTAACAAAAAAACAATAGTATTATCAAATTTACATTGAACCTGGCCCACCAACATTAGAACCTTGATTATCTTTGGAAATAGAAATTTAAAAAAAAAAAAAAAAACGCTTTAATTTTAGTTTTATGTAAAATAAGAAATGTTCACTGTTGAATTTAATGCGTATTACTAAAATGGAACATGCCCTCTTTTTACTTTCATTAACCCCACATGCAATTTACAGCAGACTGGGGGTTGCAATTTTCTGGTTACGGACAATGATTTGAATCCCAATAGTGGTTTGATTGGCTGATAGCATCATGTAGCCAATCAGAACATAACATTACAAGGGGTTACTGGTTTGGTTTTTTTTGTAGTTTTTTCAGGTTTTCTGCAGAGTTCAAATACATAACAGACAAATCTAACTTGTTTCAGTGTGCAATTTATACAAAAGGTATTCCAGACCATATATGGGGACAATAAAAGCTTTAAAGGTAAAAGTGACAGTGCCACGCATTAAACCATATGCATAAGTTTGAAAAAATGTATTAACCATATGGATAAATATCAATAACGTGGTCAAATAGACAGCATTTTAAGTTGTATATTTTACCTCTACACACACATACCAAGCGCCCTATGAATGATATGATCACTCCTGAAATAAGAATTTTGGTTTATTTTTGAACTATGTAACTAAAATTTGATATTATAGAAATTCTATAACGTGGAGACGGCAATTTAGTTAAAAAACGGGAATAAAACGAGATGGACAATATGGGCCAAAAAAACGAGAAAGTGCAAATTAGTCATAGATGCAGGCAGCTGCTCCGAACAGAACCGAGCATTGTGAGTCAGTCTGTGACTTGCTAGGTCATTAACCCCCTTTGCACTGAGGTCTTTGCAACTCGTGGCATTGCTTGCAAGCTGCTGAAGGGATTAAGACCAGCCATCCGAAAAATATTATAGTCTAAATTAGCTCATGGTATTTACATTAAAAAAAGGATTAATTGATTCCTAAATCATTTTCTGCTTAAGTTTTTTTTATTTTAATTTTTTTTATCTCCTGCCAGATTTGTCAAAATCAAGCTGAGATTTAAAAAAAAGGATTATGTAAAATAGGTAAGAAACAGAGGGAGGGGGAGAATATCACTTAGAGAAAGAAGCACTGAACTCTCAATGTAGACAGACATTTGCACAAAGAGTCTGTTTCAACAAGGTAGGTCTTTGTTCAACAAACTTGTTGCAGGCATAGAAAACTGGAAACATTTCTCTTGAAAGCACAATTGAACTTTGCAAAGTACAAGGTACGCATTGAGATACACTCTGCATCTGAGCCAGAGACTGTAAAGAGGCTACAAATACACCTCTTCTGCAATAGCGCACAGTAGGAACTTAATGTGCCATTCTATCAATGGCCCCCGCTTAAGAATGGTTTGCCGAGCCGGTCAGAACACAAAGGATTCTGGGAAGCGATTACTTGAAGCACAATCAAAGCATGCTTTTATATTCATAATGATATTGAATGCTATTGAAATGAAACATGTACAGGAGGTATTTGTACCTTCGCGTAAAACAATAAGAGGAAGATTAGCTCAGAAATATGCCCACAAACATTCTTTTGGAAACTAAACAAGTCAGACGTGTGCAAACAAGAAAGTTACAAAAATGCCTGAAAAGAAAAAAAAAATATCAAAGAGTGCCACACACAAGTTTTTATGTTTAATTTCTGTTTTATAAGTTGGTCAGGGCAATTTCTTAAAAACCATGGGGTGTCCAACTAACATCACTGCTGTTTGAACTAGTAGTATGCGTTACAAACAAACCATCTGTATATACGTTACACCCATCTACGACGAATTTGAACACACGCAGAAATAAAACCCAAATACAAGAGGCAATTCAACAGATTATTAACAGCATGTCTTTTTTTAGACGTCATTCTTTTTGATTTAAGCAAAAAAGATGCTGAGCATTGTATACGCAATATTGCATTTGCCTTCAGGTATAAAACATTTCCAAGTACATACTGTGTTTGCATGATATGTCCTATAATAAGAACAGGAGTACACCTTTACTGAAATGTAATGAGTTGTTGTGACCGTCATTGTAGCCCGGACATGCACAGACATGTCTGAACATGTTGCATTAACTGATCAAACATGGCAGAGCATCGCATATTATGAATATAAGAATTGTTATTAATGGTTAAAACTTGACAGGTATGAGAGTCTCTGGCCATCACAAGAAACAGTGGGGAACTCAAACTGTAATCAGAAATATAAGTTTAACACCCAGCGCAAAATAACCTAATAGAAGTCTATTCGCTATATTACGGTGGTTACGCAACAACTTGGTGATTCACGGTTTCAAAAATTGCAAATAGTCCTTCTAAATGAAGCAACTATTGACCCTTTTGGGGGATGTTTGGTGGATTTTGGCAGTTATATGTTCCACTTGGATAAAGCCACCCTCTCTCTGCACAGACTTTTTGAAAACACAGTGTAACAAGCTCCCTCCCACCTCCCACCTCCCAATCCCCGGTAGCTGAAGGGGTGAAAACCCCTTAGAAAAGGTCATTATTGCACTTTATAAAAAACTGCAATAATTACACTTGCAGGGTTAAGGGTAGTGGGAGGTGGCACCCAGACCACTCCAATGGGCAGAAGTGGTCTGGGTGCCTGGAGTGTCCCTTTAATCTTACTACCATTAACTTCATAGTGATAAATTGTTTCTAATTGTGTGTTTTCTTATACTTATGGTATAAAGCTTGAAGAATTCATCAAAAACCCAGCCTTTTAGACATAAACTTGTTAAACTAGTCTGGGACCATTGTCAATGAAACTTCCTGTATGAAGTGCCAATGTCAAGGTCAGTCACCAAAAATACTCCCATTCTGCAGGCTAGAAGGGCGTAATGGAATGTAATGTCAGAATGCGAACATGAAGGATTTCATCATCTAAGGGGCAGGTCTGCTATGACATGACTGGTCATAGTATAGTATAGTGTATAAAATCCTGCGCTGAATACCATGGACTCAACTACTATACCCTATCTGAAGATACTCAGATTTTATTCCCCCATAATAAGAGAAAATTACAAGCACAGCGTTGATTGATTTTAGTGGAATGCACTTTGGTTTAAAGGTCAAGTTGATTGGCTGCAAATTGAAACTTCCGCCTTTAAAATATCTAAACTATTACAAATTACATATGCAAATACTGAGCAGATATACACACACACACACTAATAGAAATCTTGTACGAACAAATAAATGGCAGCCACTTGCGTATTTGGGCCTTCCAGGATTTAGTAGGTACTTTGGACATTTGTTAGGCAGAGAAATGTGTCTTGTTACCCTTTACACTCCATTAAACACCCCAAGCAGGGACTTACATTGCAGTTCAGTACTTAGCAGTGTGTCAATTTATAAAAGGCAAATCACATGTATGCAAAATTGAAAATAAGTCATGGCACATACTTTAAGTGTTTTTGTACAGGACCCCAAAAAACTAATCCATAAAAATAATTTTGCCATAGTGACTATATTTTGCAGACATCCAGGTGAGCTAGCTTCACAATAGAGCCTTGCTCATAATGAAGGTTTATACAGTGAAAGTGCCACTGGTAGTACTTTTACATGTACCCCATGTAGAACAGCAGAAAATTAGTTAAAAGCCTTTTTTTTTTTTTTTTAACACATTTTTAAGATTTATTTAATTTATAGTTACCCTGCAAACATAAAACTGCAATCACGAAATATTCACAAATAACATGTTTTGCCATCACGATGCCCAGAGAATCGTTGATTTGCACAGAGGCCTCATTTAAGGATGTATCTGCATATTTATGAAATCCAGCTGGATGGTGTGTGTGTCCTTTAACATAGACGTCCTTTTATTATAGGGGCTGGAGAGAAAAAAAATCCAGCACCTAATGAGTCTTCAATTCTTCCATTCACTTGGGCTAGTTTTTATGTTTTTTTAATAAACTACAGCTTTCATGTGCAGAAAGTAGACAGAAAAGCATGGAGCACAGGGCCCCATGTCATTAAAAGCCATTTTGGGCCCTAATTTCACATTGTGATCTCTTTATACCTTTCTAAAGAGCGAGTAGAGCGACAGATGCTCAGTGTGCCAGCCACCTCCGCAGCATTTCATTCACCGTTTCAAGATTCCATTCAGAACTAAGTATCCCCAGTCTGTTCTCTCCTGTCAGAGGACAAAGTATTGGCTTGTCTTGAGCTCACTTTTGATGCTTGATTATCATCTGTTGCGCCAGCCTACTGCTATCGCCTTCCCTTCTTCCCAAGCCTGCAGGAATTTGAACTTTAAATGGGTATCCTCCAGTGCAACAATAGATAAAAAGGGGGCCTTTGATTGTTCAAATGCTGCTCAAAAGAAAAGGCCGAAGATTCATCCTGGCTGCGACCTAGCAGGATCTCGTCAGGCAAAAGCTCCCCTCCCCGTTCCACTTTGCAGCTTTCTCGCCTTTAGCTACTCATTCAAACTCACAGTGCCTGTTCTACCATTCAACAAGGATGAATTCCTAAGGTTTCCCTGTTTAGAAACCAAAAGATTGATTCCATGAATGAAGCCAACCAAAGCCTGCAAAACCCACTAAAAAGTACTGTCAAGCAATGGCATTGATTGCCGTCAAAATTTATAGCAGTATTATACGTATAGACTAAAAAAAACAAACATCACTTTTTAGAACTATGTATAAGATCGTTATTGACACAAGCCATCTGTTTTTCACATTGCCAACCTCTTTGTTTAGGAGGTTGTAAGACCCCTTTTCCCCCTCAACGACAGTTAGTTCGTTCAGCTCTGCTAATGATGTATAGCTCCATCCATTAAGTTAATTTATCAAGTCTCAAGTTCATGAAGAACTGCAGCTCAATTACCGACTGTGAATCAAGGCTACACAACGCTGTATAAAGAAGACTAAGATGTGGAAAAAAGTTCTGCAGACCAGGCATGGCCTACACCAGGATGATACATTTTGGCTATTCCTACAAACTTATTAGTTTGAATGTTGAAAACTCCTGGAAGATTGAGGACAATAAAAACCAAGTTACTCATCATTATGTCTATATTACGGATTTAGACAAGTCAAGGGAAAACCTTGATATACTTGGAGAAACAAAATAAATAAAAGATACTTGCTTTTTAACATTAGTTTGATCTAAAGAAACTAAAATCTGAAATACAAGTATGCTTAAAGTGGAAATTAGTATCATTTAAAAAAAATTTAAAAACATTGAAAATTAGTAAATGGTGCTAATTTCCACTTTAAGCATACTTATAGTATCTTTTTCTCCACACAATGCAAATTTATTTTAAAATGTTTATTAAAGATTTAGCAAGTGTCATCAGAATCCCGTCCAGGCAGAGTTAAGGCATACAATACAAATGAGATCAAACATTGCTTCGGCCACTCCTCTTCCGATAAACGTTCAATGGCAGGCAAGTGCAAGTGCAACTTTTATGACAATTATTGCCAGGGAGTCCATATGGGGACGCCTATTTCCAAGACAGAGAAATACAGCAGTTTGGATTCCTACATTAAATTTTAGTTTTCAAAATCCCCAAAAATATACTGCTAATTGTACTGATAAATAAACAAAATATAAAAAAAAAAACCCGAGAAGTGACTGGTGTACGATAGGCTTTATCAAATGTTTTCTGACATTCCAACAGAAAAACTGTATCAAAACCATTTGGGAGGTTCTAAATACAAAAAATAATATTGAAAACAATCATGAGAACTATGGGAGCTTAAAGACCTGTGGGTAGAAAATCATGGGAAATTTTGTTCACAAGGTTAGGTTAGCCATTACTGGTTATGTCTGCTTGGTTACTAAAGAATTTGAGGAAATGTCCCTCTGTTCTATGAACTATAAAGTCTAAATAGTAGTATACCATTTCATAAAATAAAGAAAAAAAAAGGAACAGTGACATATTTCATGTCAGAGTTCAGTCTCTCTTACAGAAGACCAACTGGAATGGTAAAGTTTATAACACAACTTATCTGTATGCAGTTTTTGTTTAAAACACTTACAATGATTACATATTAAAAAAAGAAGAAAAAAAATTCAGAAAGCCACTTAGTGAACTAATTCACCCAGCTCTTGGAACTCGCTCATTCCCCCCACATTTGCAAATTGGAAGGAACTTGCCAAGTTTCACCTCATTAAACCCATAGATAGTTTGTAACAAGTAAATTCTGTCAGGCTAGCCACCCTTCTATGGGAGTTTGGGGGGGGGAGGTGGGGGAGCTGTGACAAGTGCCGGCAGCTGCTGAACAGACACCTTGCATCAGAAGGGAAGATGAAAGGGCAGCTGCCAAACCGCCATGGGGTCTAAAACGTCCACCAAATTAACTCTTCAAACTCACAATTATAATCTGCCATTTGCGCGGGGCATCGCATTGGTGGCTCCCTCAGCATTAAAAGAGGGATAAGAATAGGGGGAGGCAAGGCTTTTGAATTCTGATGAAAGTGTCACTTCAGGCGCTTGCATACTAATTTCACTCAAAAGAACAGGCGCACTGCAGAATATTTTATGTAGGCCTCAGCTGAATAGTTACTTGTAAACCGAAGTGTTCTAACTGTGTTTTTATTGGGGTGGAAGGTTAGGGAGAGACTAGGTTGAGGGCAGAGTGGATGAATGCATTATTCATGAATAAAACTAAAAATAATTAAATACATTATAAACTAACTTGGAGCATACTATCAGAAAGAAGATTTTTTTATTTATTTTTAAATAACCGGGTGTTTTATGAAAGACCATGCTTAAAAAAATGAAGTCCATTGTAATTTTTAAGCAAATCAAGCTGAACACACACAGAGCGGGAATGACATCTGGCTGCCTGTGCATTATGGAAAACTTTTTTCTGGAACAGCTGCAGGCCCAAAAGTTAGCCATCTTCAATTCAGACAGAGGTCTTTGAGCGCTAGTGAAGTGTGCAATGATTTGCAATACAAAATGTTCCACGGCCAGGGACCGGCAACATCTGTCACACCAGCTCAAATAGACAACAGCCCCAAACGCACCCAGATGGCAGGGCTTGTAGTATGCACGTGGCAAAGGGTACCTCATCAAGTGACCACACGTAAAAAAAATAAATTATTATTTGAGCAAATCCTAGCAACAAAATGCAGTACAAGGGAAGAAGAATTCTACAAATGCAGGTGGCTCTCATGCAATCTGGGTGTGAGTGATGGTTGTTGTACTCCACGGGAAGCTGAAGAACTGCAGCTTAGTCAACATGGATTGATTTAAGTCATACGGGTTTGCGGTCGAAAGCAAGTACACATGAACACAAGTAGTACTCACAATGGTACACAGTTTGCCTGTAGTTCTGTTTTCATTCAGTCACCCTGCCAGATACTACTTTCCTTTCAGGTTAAACACACTGGTCATAAGGTCATGCAAATGTTACTAATATAAAACGGATTGCAGATTCCTTGTGGTATGCAAGTACAGAGTCATCTGTAATATTAGCCAACATAGGGATGTCTATAAAAGGGTTTTTGGGTACACTTGGTAGGCCTTCCTGGGCATTTTTTTTTTTGGGGGGGGGGGTGCAGCTGGCTAGTGTGTCCTGCTAAGCATACTGCTTTGCTCTCTGGAGGAGTCTACGGTGGTTATGGTGTCTGCTGCAGTGCTTGGAGTCCTCAGGAAGCGCTAGGAGCATCCTTCAACGGAGGTACCCAGTCGGGGTACCCGTTGATCCGTTACACGTGGACTCTACATATTTTGGTCTTTCTACTGCGTGTTACCAGAAGGTAGATTGCTTGCTCATTGTGCTAGGAAGCCATGCTTCAGTTGCAACATGAGAGGAATGGAATCGGTCTATGTACAAATAAAGGTTTATAATATCACACATGAGCTCAAACATGTTTGAGGCCTCGAGTGGGAACCACCCATAAGGCAAGCTACTAAGCTTTGTCCATTCTCACACAGTATCTCTTACACTAAACATTTAGAGCAAATGTGTGCGTTTCTAAACGACACAGGAGTGTATTCGTGATATATGACATTCCAAAGTGATACTTTGTTTATATCAGAGGTTCTGAAACAGTTTTTGTCAAGGATTCAAATAATGTACAAGGCTTCAACCCTTCAAGTGTAATATAATTAAAGGACCACTTAAGACACCCAGACCATTTCATCTTAATGTATGTTTAACCCTTCAAGGTAAAACACTGCAGTTTTGCAAAAAGAGCAATGGTTACCTTGAAGGGTTAAACACGTGTCTAGCGGCTGTCATACTGACAGACACTAAAGGAACTTCAGCTAAAAAAATCATTGGATTTAAAGTTTCCTAAAACAAGTATGGGATGCGTATGTGGCGCTCGCTGCAGATGCGTATCATGCCCCCAATGATGTTACGGAGTGACCAGCAGCGCCAAGGGTTTTTCCGCACAGAAAAAAAGGTAAGAAAAAACCTTAGTAAAATATGTTTATGGCAAAGGGGAAAAAAAAAATATATATATATAATTTTTTTTTTTTTATTATAAATAAAGAGGGAAATAAACATATGTACCAGGTTTGCAATTTAATGTTCTTTTAAACTCCTGATTGTATTTTAATTTTCCAGACAACATTCAATAGTTTTGCTAAAATTGCTATCAAATTCATGGAAGGGAAAGAAAAAACCCCAAAAAAACTGCCTTATGACCCGAAAAATAAATGACAGAGTCAAAATAGAGTTCCTTTAGCAGAACTGGCGTTCCGACTATTAAAAAAAAAAAAAATACCACTAACCCCTAAAACACATTTAACAAAAAGCAGACAAAAAGAAAACAAACAGATGATCGTCCACAAAAAACATGTGCAAAAGAAACTGAAGAATTGCTATAATGCTGTGCTGCATTGCAATGAAAACCCCACAAATCTCAGCCATTTACGTAAGAACGTACACAAAGTAATCTGCCAAAATAAATATATAAAATGTGACAGATCAACTCAAGAACTGACAGAAAGCAAGACAGGACAAGTAAGTCACCCAAACTACTTAGACTATAAAGCAGAGGTAGAGATTCGTGGCGGTTTTAGGGTCTTATCAGCTCTCCAACACACTTATATTTCTACCATGACATTGGCCATCATTCATGACAAGCAGTCCTACATTTGCATTCAAGTAATCCAAAGTTAAAATAACCGAAGCAGACTAAAAGAAAAGGTTAACACACAGAGCAGATGAGACCCGAGGTTAACCCTTCATGCTATCTCCTCTTTTACATATAGAGCTAGATCAGATAGCGAGAGGTGTACGAGCAGAGTATCAATGCCACCTCGGCCGTTCTGCATACAGTCTTTGGAAATGCTTTCGGGAAGCACTGCTGAAATACTGCCTATTTCCCCTAGCATGTTTTAGAAGCAGTTTCATTTTCCCCACCACCAACGCATCTCACTAAATTGAGCTCTGGTCATAAAAACACAGGCAGCCCTGTCAATATAACTCTGGGCTTGCTTGTATGACTGCTAGACGCTCTGTTTTGGACACTGTTATGGCAACAGGTTTCTCATCCAAGGTCTCCACAGTATGTGATACTGTAAGAGACATCTCGTTTCATGTGATCGTTAAAGCACATTATTACTATAATGTTTCTGTTAAGTCATGATAAATTAAAGCAAGCTGTCATCCAGTAAAACCAGAGTGTACAAAGTCCTTGAAGATAGAGAGTAGTGGCCCATCTGTTAGGGCAACAAAATGTTTCAAACTTGACCGCGATCCCTCGTCTCCTAACACTATCCTAACACTATCAAATGTGCTGTTGTAAGCAAATATGATTATTCACTAAACCAATAATACTGGAAGATACTGGGACAGTAAAGAATTAACACAAGAATAAGTGTAGGCTAAAATAAACTGGAAAAAAATTATTAACTATTTTTCCAGATCAGGAATTTGGGGTCTAAAGGTCACCACCTCAATTCTATGCAATTTCTAGAAAAACATTGAACATTACTGTAACAGATATGGGGGACCGACATATCCAAAAATCACCCATAGCGGTTCATGTTTCAATGGAAGTCATAATTTTGACCGACTGTGCACATGGGCCGATGCCCAAAGCAGTTCCAGGAAATCAGTGCCAACGGTCGGTCAAGTTCAGTAGTCTTATACGTTTCCCTGCTGGGCCCATAGTCTGAAGGCAGGAGGCTGGCAAGCAAGCCCCTGTGGCAAACTCACGTGGGAAGGGGAGTTTGTCACAATTACCTCCTATGGCACAGTAAATATGGCACTCCGTTTATTGTTCGTAACTGGCATAGCCCCCATGCCCCCTGCACGTAACATTGGTTGGCCTTGGCTCGTGGAAGAGGCCACTTTTAGAAAATGGCTCTTAGTTTGCCCTTTGTTAGTGAAAAGCCAAAACTGTCCCAGACCTGGGACAAGTCATGAATAGCTCAGACAGGTTCATGAAGCAGGAAGGGAGGACACGGAGCAGAAGAACACACCTGTCATTTCAGTGCACAAGCTATACAGAGTGTTAAGAGATAATCTAACTCTACTCATTGCAGTATTCAGGCATGTATAGAGAGGAGGCATTTAACCACAAGAAATTTGAATGGAGTTTCTGGGAGCATTGTATTGGGAGAAAGATGCAAACAAGGTAGCGATTATATTACGATGGCAATGGGAGGATAAAATGGATTTAAATTAGGATGGTGGATGTAAATAGAGGGATGGTTCTGAACAGACTACTCACATCTACACAAACAACCATACAGACAATGTACACACAGATACACAGTGGACACTAACACACAGTCAAACACATTCAGTAACACTGACAGTACATATATAGAAACTATGATACACAAATTGACACTGCACATGCTATACATAATGACATTTAACATAAAGCACAAAATCCTCGTTTGCCACAATACTACACAATTTTGTTTTAACTTTGTTAGCAAAGCAACACATGACATTAACAGTCACATTCAGATAATCTTATATCATCATATCTGTGACGGCAGATTGTTTTATACGGGAAGTGCTTTCACAACTATTAAAATTAATTGACCGGAAACTAAAATGATTTTCTTGAATAGTAGAGAAGCATACACTCCATTCTAAGAATTTACAAAGCTTGATCAACATTAAAATGTTTACATAAGACTATTTCTTGCCTTTTGCATCCTGGGGGAAGTTTAGAAATAAAGCAAATTGTTGTCAGCATTTAAACCTGGCAGAATGCTTTCTGCTGCATATTTTAATAATCAAATCTGTCCTCTCTATAAACATATACTTTAATTCCTGCTCAGCCGATTCCAAGCATTGTAAGAGATGTGCAGCGTTTCTATACCACTTGAGCTGTAATGCTAGTGCAGACATTTTAAAAAGTCCATTATTTGAATTCCCTAGCAAGGCTGTCAAAGTAACCATGCAGGAATACGTGATTTAAGGGTCCACTGGCTAAGCGTGATCAGAGCGGTTGTACAGGCGAGCATCTCACTCCTAGAATCCAAGCAATAAGAGTGAGCTAGAAGCATTCTTCCGTTCTAATCACACGTCTCCCTTTGTTCAGACAGGCAACAGACAAACTAAACTTAGATTGATTTTAAAACAACAAGGGGAAAAAAAGCTGGAAGTCTGTGATTTTTAGTTCAGAGCTGATACAACTGCAGAGAGTTGGACACTAGACTGTACATGTCAGGAGACCAGGAAATACGGGGTGAGGCAAAGATCCATGCCAGCATCATGTCAACGGCTTTCATTCCTTAGGGATAACACATCCTGGCCTAAACCTCATCATTTGCAGGCATTTAACCCTTTCAGTAAACCTTATTGCCAAAAAGTGGATGGGTGACATTTGAAAAAGTATCATCATTACAAAACTGACGCAAAGTAATAACAGTGAAGCGCTGGTAGTTTGTTGAATTCTGTATAAACACCTAAACAAAAAATGTTTGCAGTCAAACCCTTTGTTCTTGGGTTCTTTATAACTCATGAGTCTCAGTCTGGCTGCCAGACTAAGGATTATATGCGTTGCCCCTGAACTATAGGTTTGTGGTCCTTCTCAGGCCAAAAGTAGCAAGGCCTCTCCTGACGCACATATATCTGGAAAAATGCTTAAGCCCCCCCATAAAACGCAGAATTTTAAGATATACATTTGAACCCATTATTGTGGACTTTATGAAAAATTATAGTAATTAGAGGAGACAAGTTTAAATGATTCAGGAGACATGTTTTGAGTTGCCAATATTGCTTTACGGAACATGGTTGTAATAGTGAGGGTCTCTAACACACAGCAGCTGGCTACAGCATGAGTAACCCAATCCAGACCCCCATTACGCTCTCCCTGCAATCCAGGGGCTGTGCACTCCGGGGCGTAGCAGATCGAGCATTACATCCGTCTGTGGGCTGCACACAAACTGTGGAGTTACAAGAGCAGATGAGGATTTCATATGGCAAACTGTAAGCAGAAAAGTGGACATGCATAACTCAGCGGTCAAAAGGCATCAAGGGGCAAATACGAGTCAGAAAATTATCTGGAAGCAGTTGGATATTTCATTGCAACACAGAACATAAACAGTTCTGTTTGGATTATCAACACACATTAACTCTTTTAGAAATGAGCATTCTCTGCTATCCTGTGTTTAAAGGGACACTCCAAGCACCATAATCACTAGGGCCAAATGTACATTTCTCCCCATTTTCATGTATTTGCTAGAATTAGGTGTTTCACGGACACTCTATGCACCATAACCACTACAATGTATTGTAGTGTTTAGAGTGCAAATGGCCTTTAGGTGCTGTGGAAATGATGAGAGCTCTTTATTAGGCCAAAATATTTCGAAATTTTTACTTAAATATGGACTGTTAAATTAGATGGAGTGGAGATAACCACAATTAAATGCGGATAATCCTTACCAACCTTTACAAATATTTTTGGCAAATAAAGTAAAGCATAGTCATCTTATGAGCAGCAGAGAAGATGGGCCCACATTTAAGTAAAAATGTATTAATATTTTGGCCTAAAAAAGGGCTCTCATTTCCACAGCACCTAAAGGCCCTTTGCACTCTAACCACTACAATACTTTGTAGTGGTTATGGTGCATGGAGTGTTCTATAAACCGTAAACTCAATATTTATTGTGTTTTACAATGGTAGGGTTAACGTTTGATCTAGATAAATCCCAAGAATCCTGTAGCCATCTATTCTATATAAAGTTAACTGCCATATATCAATTTCAGATCAAAGCTAAATTTGTATTGGAAGCTCTGTGTTTGCAACCAATACAACAGATGGAGGTAACACTATGATCAATGACCAGAAAATGAAGAGAGGAGAATAGACAAGTGTCTGCCCAGTCTGCTACAAATTTCTGACAACACAAAAAAAGAAAGAAAAGGACCAGACTGAAAAGTATTGCCGCACCCTCAAGGGATAGGTTTAAATATAATTCACCTTCCCCTGCTGCTGGCCCACAGAACACCCAGCGACAATGTCACTGTCGGGGGCAGGGGCGGGGGGGGGAGGGTTTGGGTCTTTGCTTTAATCCTGCAATTCCAATTTTAACCACAATAAACGGTTTAGTAAATAACCATGTGACAAATCAATATTAAAGGGACACTATAGTCACCTGAACAACTTTAGTTTAATGAAGCAGTTTTGGTGTATAGAACATGCCCCTGCAGCCTCACTGCTCAATCCTCTGCCATTTAGGAGTTAAATCCCTTTGTTTATGAACCCTAGTCACACCTCCCTGCATGTGACTTGCACAGCCTTCCATAAACACTTCCTGTAAAGAGAGCCCTATTTAGGCTTTCTTTATTGCAAGTTCTGTTTAATTAAGATTTTCTTATCCCCTGCTATGTTAATAGCTTGCTAGACCCTGCAAGAGCCTCCTGTATGTGATTAAAGTTCAATTTAGAGATTGAGATACAATTATTTAAGGTAAATTACATCTGTTTAAAAGTGAAACCAGTTTTTTTTCATGCAGGTTCTGTCAATCATAGCCAGGGGAGGTGCGGCTAGGGCTGCATAAACAGAAACAAAGTGATTTAACTCCTAAATGACAGTGAATTGAGCAGTGAAATTGCAGGAGAATGATCTATACACTAAAACTGCTTTATTTAGCTAAAGTAATTTAGGTGACTATAGTGTTACTTTAAACAAAAATAAGGTTATTGTCTGAAATGTAAATCAACCAAGACAAAATCTGACACGGTGATATGTGAATGTTAAATAATGTAAGATTTATTTATTCTTTGGTGTTTAGAAAGTCATGCAATCGAAATCAATAACTGCCTTGATGGGAGAAAATCAAATGGTGTTTAGAATGCTTCCCTAAGGGGTTATCCACTATTCATAGAAACATAGAATGTGACGGCAGATAAGAACCATTCGGCCCATCTAGTCTGCCCAATTTTCTAAATTCTTTCATTAGTTCCTTGTCTTATCTTATAGCTAGGATAGCCTTATGCCTATCCCACGCATGCTTAAACTCCTTTACTGTGTTAACCTCTACCACTTCAGCTGGAAGGCTATTCCATGCATCCACTACCCTCTCAGTAAAGTAATACTTCCTGATATTATTTTTAAACCTTTGCCCCTCTAATTTAAGACTATGTCCTCTTGTCGTAGTAGTTTTTCTTCTTTTAAATATAGTCTCCTCCTTTACTGTGTTGATTCCCTTTATCTATTTAAATGTTTCTATCATATCCCCCCTGTCTCGTCTTTCCTCCAAGCTATACATGTTAAGATCCTTTAACCTTTCCTGCAGGGCCGGACTGGGGAAAAAATTCGGCCCGGGCATTTTTAATTACAGCGGCCCAATGAAAAGGGGGTGGGGCCAGATAGGGTGTGTTTTGTCATCCCCAATGACAAGCACTCCCCATCTCAAAGTGAGCATGTTGGTTCAATGCTCTTCCAGGACATGAGAAAAGGGCCTTGTATTTGATCTGCACAGCGCAAGCAAATTAATAACATGCTTGCATTGTGTTTGCTTGAAACTTATCTCAGGGGTTTCCATAAATGGAATACTCACTGTATCCCATTTATGGAGACACTATGTGTTTGCTTAAAGGGTATCTAATGTGTTCATAGGGGATCCTGAGTGTGTATGTCAGAAATGTTGTGTGTGTGTAAGTGGTGCAGCGTCTGTGTGTAGGGGATCTAGTGTGTGTTTGAAGGACTCAGGAGTGCGTATAGGAGATCTAGTGAGTGTGTGAGTGGTGCAGTGTGTTTGGGGGTGCTGTGTGTGTGAGGGGTGTAGTGTGCATTTGTGAGGAGTATAGTGTGTGTGGGAGGGTGGTGTGTGTGGGGGGGTGCAGTATGTGTGTGTGATAGGGCACTGTCGAGGGTTCTGTGTATTTGAGGGTGATGTGTGTGTGAGGGTGATGTGTGTTGGGGTGCTGTGTAGTGCTGTGTATGTGTTGGGGTGATGTGCTAGGTTGCTGTATGTGTTATGTGTTATGTGTCTAAGGGTGCTGTGTCTGCTGGTGTTAGGGTGCCTGTGTCAATGTTAGGGTGCTGGTGTTAGGGTGCTGTGTGTGTGTTGGGGTGCTGTGTTAAGGGTGCTGGTGTTAGGGTGCCTGGTGTTAGGGTGCTGTGTGAGTGCTAGGTGCCTGTGTGTTATGTTATGTGTGTTAGGGTGCTGGTGTTAGGGTGCTGGTGTTAGGGTGCTGTGTGTGTGTTAGGGTGCTGTGTGTGTGTTAGGGTGCTGTGTGTGTGTTAGGGTTCTCAATGTTAGGGTGCTGGTGTTAGGGTGCTGTGTCAATGTTAGGGTGCTGGTGTTAGGGTGCTGTGTGTGTGTTGGGGTGCTGTGTCAATGTTAGGGTGCTGGTGTTGGGGTGCTGTGTCAATGTTAGGGTGCTGGTGTTGGGGTGCTGTGTGTGTGTTGGGGTGCTGTGTCAATGTTAGGGTGCTGGGTGAGGGTGATGTGTGTGTTTGCAAGGATTTTGTATTGGGGGAGGCAGGTAAATGGCACTATTAACGTTTTACTAAAAAATAATAATAATAATAAATACATAATAATATTTAATAATAAACACATAATAATAATAATAATAAATACATAATAATAATAAATACATAATAATAAATAATAAACACATAATAATAATAATAATAACATAATAATAATAAATAATACATAACAATAATAATTAATAATAAATAATAATAAATACATCAGATCCCCCTCCATTCTTACCTGTAGTCTGGAAGGGGGGGGGGTCCTGCTCCTGCCAGCCATCCCTGGTGGTCCTCGTGGTAAGTGAACTCTAGCCCTTTGGGGCTAGAGTTCACTCTCGCGAGACCCGGCCGGTTGCCATAGCAACGGACCGGATCTCGCGAGAGAAACCCGGCGGAGCTGCAAGTTAGAGCTCCGCCGGGTCCTCTGTCTCGTCTTTCCCCCAAGCTACATGTTATCCTGGGAGCTCCCCTGCCGGCCCGGCCCATGGCCACCTAACCTTTCCTGGTAAGTTTTATCCCGCAATCCATGAACCAGTTTAGTAGCCCTTCTCTGAACCCTCTCTAAGGTATCAATATCCTTCTGAAGATACGGTCTCCAGTACTGTGTACAATACTCCAAGTGAGGTCTCACCAGTGTTCTGTACAATGGCATGAGCACTTCCCTCTTTCTACTGCTAATACCTCTCCCTATACAACCAAGCATTCTGTATTCAGGATACAATATTTACACCTGATTTGCTACATGACACAGGAACTCATACCTTGTGTTAACAAGAGATCCTAGTGCTTAGATTGAAACCTGGGATTTTATAAATTCTTACAAACTTTATTTTTGGTTTTCTAGCTAGTAAACCAGCACAAATTAGAAAAAGAAAAGGATTTTCTTATATGATCAGAGACTTCTAGTCACTTGAGTTCTGATTTACCTAAATTTGTTTGTGTATTACAAGTATTACAAATAAAGTTCATATACCCATTGTACAATGTGTGATCACTAATAAAATAGAAACAAACAATAAAGCTGCAGACCTTCAAAGCCAAGGGAAGAAGGGCTGCTTTTAGAAAAGTTGTTCTCTTTTCCAAGTACAGAAAGCAAACAATCTGGATGAAATAAAATGTAACTCATGTTTTACAACACTTTATAGCTAAATACCAAAAAGCTATGATTTATCTACAAGCTGGACTATTTAAAAAAATATATCTATAAATATATATTTTTTTTTTACGGATTTACATCATGCAGCATGATGTCAAGGCATGGCCTGGCATACAAAGTATATTTCTGCTGTCCAATGAAGCTGTGAGAAAGCAAGTGAGTGAAAGCAAAGGATCATGGGTGAAATTCGGGGTGCATATTCCTCGCAAATAGCATAAATAAGAATAAAAAGGTTGGGAAGATGTTACAGCCAGTACCAGGAAAAGCCGTGTAGGTTTCTGTTGTACTTTGCTTCACTCCACACCCCAATAAATATTAGTTTTGAATGTAAACTGAAAGGGGACATTTGCCCTTAAAAAGAAAAGCAAGTTAGTCTTAAATATAGAAGCACATGTTATTGCAGAAGCCAGCTATAAATGAATGGAAAAAATGAATCATATTGAAAGGCGCATCAAGAACGGTCTCAATCACACATTTAAAGAGGCATCGTTACTTCTGGGGTCTTTTTGGTATTTTTCGAAAAAGGTAAATATATAAGCGTACAGTGTGGCATCTCAGAGGAGAAAGCGTAGGCAGATATACATAACTATTTCATCTGTGTCTAGAACACCTGTCAGCCTCATCTGCCAAGAGCCATGGTTATTATTTTTCTCTCAAAAATGCACAAGAGTACAAAATGGGGATCCGTCAAATATTAAAAGATACCAGTCAAAAATCTTTATTTTTTTGCCCCACTAATAGTGTTTCATTTAGCGGACTACATGTCATAGTGTTGTATTAAGCTAAAGCAAGTAGGATGTATATTTTTGTAAAAAAGCAACCATTTTAAGCTTTAAGTGAAAAAAATAAGTACTTATTAAAAATAACTTTTTCTTCAATAGGCATGTTTGCTTTAACAGTAATTTATCACAAACACACAACAGGGTGGGAATGCTTCCAAAAATGCTTGAAGACAGTTTGAACTTCGGCTCACAGGGTATCCAGCTGCATAGCCTTGGCAGTGAACTATGGTAACAGTAGCCTAATAACAAGAGGGTCCAGGGCTGATTTTCAATAGCTATGCTTTGGAGATCTGCAGGATTGGACATTCTGTTGGAGCGGGACTAGTCCGCACACATCTGGAACTGGGAGATAATCAAACCCAACATTATAACACCGTCCTCTTTAATTTTTACATTTGGAAAGAAAAAGACAACATAGATGTATCCAGATTGCAGGGAAGAAAAAAGGAGAAGGAAGCAAACATTATAGGTCACAAGTGAGCATTACAGCATTTCCTTTATGGGATATTCTTACATATATATTTAGCTGATGTATGCATATAAGGAATTAGGTAATGCTAGTTAAAACGCCATCTGCACTCCCAATCACACGTCCTCCAAGTACAAAGTAGCTGCTGAAAGTTAAAGCAGCCAGTAGGATGGAAGAGGCAGCCCTGAATTTTATCAGAAATTCCATTCATGGATGAACCCTGGAAAATATCTTTAACATAACCATGTGGCATAGGTAACCACCAGCCCTTGGTCAATTACAATGATGATGATTCAATGTCAGAATGCGTTAAGGCACAGAATGATAATAGGGTATCAAAGACCGAGGTCATCAATATAAAAAAATAAAATAAAATAGTGAATGCTATTTAAAGTGTTCCCTAAATGGATTCATGTTTTCACATCATTAATGTGCCTTGATTTATTTTTATTCTCCTGTAAAATGACATTCTTTATCTGTTAGATTTCAATGTTAAAGGACCACTATAGAGTCAAAAATACAAACGTGTCCACCTTAAATAAGCAGAAATCTAATTTTTATGCGAACACCGCAGAGGTATGCTAGCGCAGGACCAGCCCCCGAAACTGCCTCCTTGGCTGACATCATCAGAATTAGCAATCTCAGCCAATCCAATGCTTTCCAATAGGATTGGCTGAGACAGTCAATTATGATGCTCTCAGCCAAGGAGATGGGGCGAGAGCAAAGCCAATCAGCATCTCCTCATAGAGATGCATTCAATGTATCTCTATGCAAAATGTTCAGCATCTCCACGCAGCACTGACCCAGGCAGCCCTTCTAGTAGCCATCTGAGTGACTGCCACTGGAGGTGTCCCTAGGCAGCAATGTAAACACTTCCTTTTCTCTGAATTGGCAGTGTTTACTGTACTCTCCAGAACAACTACATTAAGCTGTAGTTGTTCTGGTGACTATGCTGTCCATTTAACTACTAAAACAAATGTGTCTTATGATAAAGTAGCACAAAAATAAAATGTTGTCCATCTGAGATCCCTAACTAGGTCTTCAAAGCTTGGAAAATAATATTTTTTTAACAGAGGATTTTGTGTTATTATCCCAAGCACTGACCATAATTACGAAGTTAGGGAAGCTTGAGGGTAAAAATAAAGACATGGCCATTAAGTCAAACCATGTCTTTTTGTATTAATATGCACTAGGATAATATCACATAGTATTAAATCATATGCTGAGGTCATCAGTAATTTGGCAAAGCAAGAAAGATCAAAACAGTGATGGACACTTCACATTCCATGAGAGCAAATCTCTTTTTCCGAGTGTTTAAAGTAATTTCAGAGGAATGTGGAACATTCTGACTAGATTACATATGGTATATATACTTTGTGTCCTCAAAGCGGTATACAATCAAGGCACATCAAAACAGGCAGCCTTTTTTTAAAGTTCCCTTTTATTGGGACTGTTTGTTCTTTTGCGAATGTTTGGGAAAGTAGAAAAGAGAAGGAAATCAAGTTTAGAGGTTAAATCATACAACAAAGTACCACTTGACAGTTTGTGTCATCTAAAGGGTCTCACTGAGTGAACTTTATCAGCCATCATACTTTCAAGGAAGGGGTAATGTCCCGGACATTAACCCAAGATTGCACTTGACCATCAAGGTCCCAAGTTCAATGCTGGGCTAATCTTTGCTCGTGTGGCTCTGTTGTGTTACATTTTCCAGGATGGTCCCATGCATACCAATCAAAACTGGGATATATGAAATCGTAAAGTAGGTCGGTGGACCTATGGGGTGTGCCAATGACAAGACTCACATCATACATAGACTGCACTCAAAAGGAAAAGTCCTCTCTGGAAAGAGAGATGGGCCATATAAAAGAGGAGAATAAGTATAAGTGGATGCCATGCTAACTATCTTCATGGCCGGCCACACTTTGGGAAAACCATCACCTGCTGAAGTACCATGTGCATTGTCCTAATGCCATGGGGCAGATCAGAAAAAGTAGATCAAGAAAATCTTGCATGCTTGGAGAGGGGGTTTTCCTATGCTAAAATAACAGTTTTGTTTTTTTCTTATTTTTTAGGAGAAGAAAAATCAAGTTAAATCAAAATTATACAATTTAGCTCATGAGAAAGAATTTTGTTTTAGATATTCATGAACACCAAATGTGTTGATTCACCAGTGGGCATCTACACTACCTGCTGAGAACATGTACTCATCGATCTTATAAATGTACATAAATATAAACTATATACACTCTACAACAGAATATCAAACAAAGGTTACAACACTTTCAGATTACTTCTGCAACATCTTTTTACATGCCAGGAAATGCTGGTGAAAGAACGGATTGTGCAAGTTAATATCCTGCACTTATCTAATCACGACATCTGAGCATCATAGGAGTTGCTGCTCAATGGCTGGGATTTTTTTTTTTGCAGACTACTTTTGAGTTAAAAACTTACATGTATTTATATTTCCTGCATCAATTGAAGAATGATTTCCTTTGTTTGAGTCCTATGCTATAAAAAGGCACATTACACAGAAATTTCACAGCTCTTATATACAGTAAAATGGGCAACCTGTTTTGTTGCTTCTTCTTATATACAAATCTAACTAAAAATATTTAATAAACAGGATACAGCACAATAAAAAATTGACACTGCCAGCCATTGTTTAAAAATACTGATGTGGTGTTGGATGATCCTGAGCCTGGTGTTAAATTGAATTCAGACTGGGGTTTGCCAAAGTCAACTTAAATAATTGTACACACCTTGGAGATGTTCTGAATTCTCAAACAGCGGAAAAACACACAAAGTCTTCAATGTCATTTCATCATAGCATTGTTTGTTTCCAATTTGGCAAGACTTTCATCATGTATGAAAGAGCCCTTGGGGAAAATGGCGGCCCATCAACCACTCTATCTCACCTTTCACACAATGTATAGTTTATTTTCCCCTGTGTCAAAAATATTTTGTAGTCGCTGCCCACTGAAGGTTTCCTATAAATGGCTTAATTAACCACTGTTTAAACAAAAAACAAAAAAAAAAGTATTGGCCTATTATCTCATCAACTGTGACAACTATCACACATCAGATAATAAAATGAGTTGCCCCCAAAGAGCTATTCAATAGCAGGGTCAGTGAAACACTGGACCTTAAGCACACAAAAAAAATCCTTGTATGTTTAGGGCTGTAACCTAAGTGGTTAGCAGAGATTAATAGGTGACCTAGTTTGCCAATGGAAATGGCTTACTTATACAGTGCTTAAAAACTGCAATGTAAATAAATGGCTACCTGAGGAATCTTTAAAACTATTTTAAAGTTCAAAATTCACAGTTAACACAGTCCAGTCACTCTAAACCTGTGAGCTGAACTGTACAAGGCTCTGATCAGGGGGTGGCAAAACAAGTAGATACTTTAATATGGCAATGAGTCAGGTGAGTAGAATCGCCTAAGTTTTAATTATAGCAGATTTTTTTTGTTCGACTATAGGAAGCAGCCAGCATCTTTGTTATCACAGCGATGTTGTGCCATGCTGGACTTGGCCATTTTTTAATCCTTACAATTCTTCCAATCACCAGATGCACGGATACCTGAACACACCCACTATCTACTGATAAAAAAAAATATTAAGATATCTATAAAACTACTTTCTTACAAAGTGACTAACATGGACAAAATACAGGAAAAACACTCTGCTTTGACGAAGGAGGAAAAAAAAATATGTGCTCGTACGATTATTGCTTCCTTGAAATAAACTGGTTCATACGAAATCAGCACATGTGTGTGCAAAGCAATTATGCAAACATATAGTGAATGGAAAGTTGTTGATATCGGAGGTTTAGATTGTTTTTGTAAATCTAAGTGCTAATCTATATGTAATTGTGTGAGTGGTGGCAGTGAGGGTGATGTAAATAAAAATACTAGGATATGAAACTCAAAGCTAACACACAATGTGTACCGATGTACTATACTAAAAATATGTCTCCAAAATTATTGATATTGCAGCTCCTCTTGGGTGATGACATCTGCTGGAACCCAATGCAGTGGGTTAGCCACTCCCCCACGGAGCGAGTAAAATTTTGAGCCCTTTTAATACACTGCCTAAACAGATTCTGCATCTCATCACCTAATCTAAAAAAACAAAAACTTGGATATGCTACCAACACAGTGGGACTCCCATAAAACGGGTTTTGTTTGCACCCCCGCACCCATAATATTTCCTGCATTTACATAAGCATTTTGCTTTCATATAAGGACACGCAGGGTACAAGATATTTGAGTCTCTTTAAAAAGAGAAGCAGCATGTAACTTCAAGTTTACAAAACACTTTTACCATTTATTTCACCCCTTCCTTTGACCTTTGCAAAGCTGGAATGTAGCATGACGGAGACCGTTTGAATGGAAACATGGCCCTTTTGCCTTAGGACTCCCAGCATCGTGAGTCTGTGGTGATGTTAAACAGACTGCAGTGAAATTGACAGGTTTACACCCTACTTAACAAAAAATAATAGAAAAAAAAAAAAAGTATCACAAACGCAGGCATTTAAAATAAAAACTAGTAAGGGTAGATATCCCATACCAAGGCCTTCCAAATTGTGCCCTAGTGACTGTCAACAGCAATCACAATAAAGTTACAACACAGAGCAAAGTTGCATAAAAATCTATTTTGTGAAACTTTAGCCAGTGTTATTTTCCTTTTTGTGATTGCTGTACAGTACTGGAGAAGCTTGGGGCTACCCAGAGAGCTGCACCTGGGTTTGACTTAGTGGAGTGCCGGTATGGCTTGCTGGAATTGTTTATGCACAAGTCCAACAGGGTACCCCAACTCCTTGAGATCTGACCTAAAAAAACGTGGCTGCCAATTCAGTGGGGCCTATTTCTGATCTTCAAAAGTCTTTTTTTTTTTTTTTTTGCAGGACTGTGGTTCAGTCAACCTTTTAGGGTTGCCATGGTGACAAGCTACAAAAAAAAAACAACAAAAAAAAACAACATAAGGATGGTGGGGAAGGCAAAAGTCTAGTTCCTATCTATATTATATGTTTGAAAATAAAAAACAGTATGTGTGTGTGCGCGCTATTGGTTATATATGGAGATTTTCACAGCACCTTATGATTGAATAGCTCTGTAAATGACAGCTACAAAAGAATATATATAGTTCATTTCTCACAATCCTTGTGTGCTGGGGAGTTTAAACATTAACTTTTTACCATTCAAAGCAGATGACAAGTAGAGAAAGACTGATTACCAGCTGTTCTTACATGCAAGATACCACATAGGCTCTGTCATCTGGAAACTTAACTTTGGTCACTGTTAACACTGGGGAAGTGACTCACTAACCGCTAAAAAGCAGAAGAATTCATATCTTTCCTTTGCTTAATGAGTTTACATTGCAGGCCACTAACATGGTATTTTAAGCCAGGAGTAATGATCACTTCAAGGTTAACCAACCTGCAGCTTGCATGATGATAGACACCTTATAGGTGAGAAGGATCTTGGGAATTGTAGTCCATCAATAGCTCTTCCATGCAAAACTGCATTGAAAAATTTTCTTTATACTAAATGGCAAATGCAATCATATGGTCGAGTGGAAAATATGTTATGTAAATGTTATGTAGGCCAGGATAAAAAAGGAAAAAAATAAATAAAATGTAGCTCATTTATTAGCATACAAATAAACCAGAGCCAGGTTTTACTAGAAAAAAAGAAAGAATTCATCCTGCAGGATGTTTAGAATAGAAGAAAATAAACATGCAGTCCCTAAACGTAAAACACTGCTTATTGTCAGAGTATACCGTACATCACAAAATACAAGCTACTAAAAAATAGGGGTTAAAATACATTTGTATATGTACACACGTATATTTTATACACACACACACACACAGACTAACGGACAAAGGGCTGGTTAATATTAATAGAACTTAAGACTCAGCCAAGATTAATGTGAACTCTGAAGAAGAAAGCTGGTGTAACAACTATTGGGATTGCTACATTTTGCAATGTAAGCCAACATGGAGAATGCACTTAAGGATAGATGGGAATCCACACTGTAGTAGAGCAGCCCGCAGCTGGTGTTGCAGCTCCTGTCCTTGACCTGTAACTGGCCAGTCTGGTCCCCACTAGAACCCATGGAAGCCACACACACTGCTAGATATACACAGAAATGCAGAATAACAGCACACACACAAACATACACACACACAATCCCCACAAACGCAACACCACTAACAATCCACACACATGCACACAACCCCACATGCAGGCTCTCACATGCAATATCCCAAACAGCCCCCAAACACTACCAAACACACAGTGTGACAGATCCATCCACACACAATTCCACAAGCAGCCCTCATACACAGCCCACATTCATATGTATCATACAAGATACCATAAACTACTAATGAACATATACAATATACGCACAAATACAACGATACAAAGCAATTACAGTAAAAATAACAAGCAGAATACGGCAGCATACACACCTCAATTTAAAAAAAATAGTATCGGCACGCTACGGGACATCACAATCCTATATCGGCACAGTGCTGCTAAAAGGTTGCCTACCCCTGCCATAGTCTATTGAACTTGGCTTAAATGAGCACTCTCTGGTGCTATAACCAACTAGCATCCAATGCCTCCCAACAAAAATAAAAATGTAATTTAATTTAATTTTATTATCTTCACTTACTTGCAGTGCTCATTGCAGGAAGCATGCGAGTGGGCCAAACTTTGAGGATTAATGAGAATATAGATAACTAATAAGAGACAGAAGCCTGCTGGGACACAACTCAATAAATCACTCTCTTCTACAACACAGTTTTATTTTTAACGGCTGGCTTTAACCTGCATACACACAATCCGTGCCCAAATAATGCAAAATAGTTCCGGATATTCTTGAATGCACACGTTAAAGCTATTTTGGCGGAAGGAGACGGTTTTCTGCTGGAAATATCAGACTTGGTGTTTATCTTCTGCGTGCAGGAGAAAGTAGAAGAATGGTTTATTGCCGGGTCGGCCGCACAAACTGGAGCACTGAGCCAGAATTGTTAGATAATGGTAGAAATTCCCAAAGGGCCCACAGATTTATTTCCGGCAAGGTCAAACAGCTGTCTTAAAAAATTAGTTAACGTATTTTCGCTAAACTATTAGCTGGAAAATATGAAGGCCTCCCATTCACAAGCTCATGTTTGTCTGTCTGAACTGAAACCCAATATGCACCTTGGCTGGCATTTTAATTCTTGGGATACAGGTGTCAAGTACCAGCAAGTCAAATGGCAGAAAAAGCCTCAGATTTTCCTACACTAGCAATCAATCACACAATTTTACATCTAATAATGTCACTAAATACGGGAAAGGAAGATTTATATTTAAAACCAAATGGCATGGTAAGTCAAATCAAAATGGTTGCACTGAAAGGATGTAGTTGAGTACTGGGAAATGTAATGCACCATTCAAAAAACATTTTAGCACGCATAACAAAATTTGAAAGAAATAAAATAAAATAGAGCATTTGATTGCCTTGAGGAAACATGGATCAGTATAGCTTTATGAACTATGATGCATATATAGGGAATTTGTAGCTGCAATGGTGTGATCAGCAAACAGCATTTTGGTGACCATATTTCCAAAGCAATCTGCAAATTTTCAAAATATATAAATAAAAATAAAATTATGTACATGATGAAACTGTAGTTTTGTAAACAGATCATGATGCATAAGAAAGGAATTAGAATGGTGTAGCTGACACACCATAATGGAATGGAATTAGTCTAACATACTTACAGGAAGACTATTCCACGCATCTACTACACTTTGTGTGTAAAAAAAGAAAGAAAGAAAAGTTCTCTGTACAATTATATGCATATTTTTTTATCAAAGGCAACAGGATCTTTCTAACATTTTAAAATTAGCACATAAGCCATTCCCTGTTTTTTCAAACACAAACTTTACCCCAAATTATCAAATGATCTGTAACACACACACATATATATATATATATATATATATATATTTAAAAAAATGATGCAGTATTATAAATACATTTAAATGTAGAGGTAACAAAAAAATACCAACAATTCCATTTTGGCTTTGATAGCTTAAGCCAATTCTAAAAACACTGTTTCACCCAGATTTGTTGTACAATGGATATTTAAAGGGACACTATAGTCACCAAAACAATTTTAGCTTATTGAAGCAGTTTAGGTGTATAGTTCATTTCCCTGCAGTGTCACTGATCAATTCCTCTGCCATTTAGTTAAATCACTTTATTTATGCACCCTCGTCACACCTCCCTGCATGTGACTTCCACAGCCTTCCTAAACACTTCCTGTAAAGAGTCAGCTAATGTTTATACTTCCTTCATTTAGGAATTGTATTTAATTTAAAATGTATTTTCCTCTGCACTGTTGATAGCTTGCTAGACCCCACAGAAACATTCTGCGTATAATAAATGTTCACTTTAGAGAGCAGGCAATAATAATTTTTAAAGTAAGTTACATCTAATTGAAAGTGAGTGCGTCACAGCCAGGGGACAGATGACTACGGCTGCAGGGACAGAAATAAAAGAGATTTAACTCCTAAATTGCAGAGATTTGAGCAGTGAGACTGCAGGATCATGATCTATACACTAAAACCGCTTCCTTAAGCCAAAGTTGTTTTGGTGACTATAGTGTCCCTTTAAGTTCAGAACTGAAAGGTTTTTGGAATTCCAGTATGTAGAGGTCTATTGTGCTCTATTCCTTCAGGTCACTGACAGACAGCAAGCACTGAATATAAGCCTGTGTGTGTCTGCATGTGTGGCAGGAGAGCTCTAAATTCAAACTTTATCTCATAAGGACCAAAAGCTAAATTTCATGAAAATTTGGTGAAACCTTAGCGTTCTATACACATGCAATGAATGCTATTTAAAAGTTGTCCTTTGGAGAATAATTTCACATACTTTCGCATGCTTGCAGGTAGGTCAGATCACAGCATGGGGGCTGGCTGGAATGAAAAATTAAATTACTATAAACCCCTGGAAAGTTTGTTTCTTTACTTGGAATGAAACACACTTTGGTAACAGATATAACGTGATATACAACACATGGATTCGTTTATAGGGCTATACCGTGTACGTTCTCTATCTCAGCAGATTGGACAGATATTGGAAGTGTTTACAGCACTTATGGCAAAGAGTTCGCAAGGTTGGATTTCCCAATATGTTCTGCCTGCCTAGGGAGGTGCAGTTGGAGAGCTAACTTTTGGCCATCCCTGCCTTTAACACATGCATAAGTATGATAGTCCACACTAGGAATAAGTAATCTCTCCAGCTGCTGTGGAATAATGAGATTCATCGCTCCAGCCTTTAGTGGACTCATATTCCACAGCAGCTGGACTGGCAGAGGCTGTCTGTACTTGTTCTGTACCTTATGGATCAGCTAGATCAGGGCTTCCCAAACTTTTATGAGTCGAGGCCCACTTTTCAAAACTGTAATTTTTCGAGATCCACTTGCTTTTAATGCGTATTTTAAAAAGTGAACACCATGGCAATCAGCTTCAGAGGCATACAACTGGCACACCATGGCAAACCGCTCGAGAGTCATACAATTGGCACACTATAGCAATACGCTTTAGATGCATACAATTGGCACACCATGGCAATCACTTTTAGATGCATAAACTTGGCATATCATGGCAATCACTTTTAGATGCATAAACTTGGCACACCATGGCAATCAGCTTTAGATGCATAAACTTGGCACACTATGGCAATCAGCTTTAGATGCATAAACTTGGCACACCATGGCAATCAGTTTCAGAAGCATACAATTGGCACACCATGGCAATCAGCTTTAGATGCATAAAATTGGCATAACATGGCAATTTTAGAGGCATCATTTTGATATATCATGGCAGTTTTAGAGGCAGAAACTTGGCACATTATGACAATCAGTTTTAGAGACCTACAACTGCTTACTCACAGACTCAGAATCAGAAGTGCTGTTGTCCTGCTCTTTCATCCAGGCACCTCACATTGATTATCCCAGTGGTGGAACTAATGTAGAGAGGGCCCTGGTGCAAGCATGTTTTCCAGGCCCCCCTTTAGTGCAAGTGTGGCCAAAAGGTAGATCTCCATCTGTCGGAGAACTTCAACAATGCAATGCCAGATGGGGATCTACCATTTGTGCATCATTGCAGGGTTATATTTGTGAGCAGTGTTTGAGCGTTTTAATGTAATCATGTTTTTGTATTAAGTATATGTGTGCATGTATGGGTGTATTTGTATGTACCGTTGCCATTGGAATGTAGTGGTGTACTTGTTTGTAATGTTTGCGTCTGAATGCAGGGGTGTATGTATATGTAGTGTAGGACTTTAAATGCAGGTGTGCCTTTTGTGTGTAGTGTTGGTGTTTGAATGAAGGGGTGTTTGTAGATCATTTTAGTGTTCTAATGCAGGGGTGTGTTTGTATGTAATGTTTGAGTTTGATTGCAGTGTGTGTGTGTGTGTAGTGGATGCAATGTGTGTATATTGTGTTTATAAAATATTCATATACACAATGTGTGTTTGAATGTAAGCATGTTTTTTGTATGGAATATGTGTGCAGTGTATACACACACACAGACACAAATACACACATTGACACAGCGATACACACAATGACACTTAGTTTCCCACACACAAACTGACACAAAAGGACACGCAGAGACAGGAGGTGAGGGTGACAGTGTGGGAGGGAGTGTGTGTACTGGTAACAGTGTGGGGGCAGTGTGAGAAAGGGTTACAGTGGGCAGGCATGGGGAGAAAGGGTTACAGTGGGCAGACAGGGGGAGAAAGGGTTACAGTGGGCAGGCAGGGGGAGAAAGGGTTACAGTGTGGGGGGCAGGGGAGAAAGGGTTACAGTGTGGGGAGAGGGGCAGGGGGAGAAAAGGTTACAGTGTGGGGAGAGGGCAGGGGAGAAGGGTTACAGTGGGGGGGGCAGAGAAGGGGTTACAGTGGGGGGGTAGGCAGAGAAGGGGTTACAGTGGGGGGGTAGGCAGAGAAGGGGTTACAGTGGGGGGGAGGAGGGCAGGCAGAGTAGGGGTTACAGTGGGGGTGTGCATTGTTTGGGGGGTGGGGGTGTGCCCTGCCTTCTTTAAACATCCCTGGTGGTCCAGTGGGTTAACGCTCCGGTATGAGCTCCGCCAGTTGCAGAGCTGCAGACAGTGTTATAAAAGTCTTGCGAGCTCCCCGAGTGTGGCCATGGTAACGCTCTGGGTGCTCGCGAGACTTCCATCACACGGTCCAGACCGGAGGTGCTGGGCAGACTGATTGGAGGGAGCCCGTCGGCATCCAGGGAAAGCCGCCAGTCCCCCTCCTGATCAGTCTGCTTGCCTGACTCCCCGGCGACCCACACTTTGGGAACCGCTGAGCTAGATAAAAGATAATAGAGCTGTATATTTTCCATGTATCTAAGATGTTTTCATTCATTATCGCAGCAAAGGCCTCGAGTCAAGTTTAGACAAGTATACAACTATGAAAGATCAGTTCTACAGAAGTTTGCGAGAAACAGGTGAATCCCCACCCCTCTCCTTCCCCCTTTCCCAGATCATGGCTCTTAAGCTTAGTAAGTAGCTAGTAATTTGGGGGGTTTCTAGAATAGTTTGGGCTGGGACTTTCTAGGTTCCATCCAGAGCAAGTTTAGGCACAGAAACATTCGCACTTCTAGCTTTAGACTGGCTTAATCTCCATTACATTCAATCCAAAGTAACGTCATACAGAAGAACCAATTACAATAACTGTTCTAGAGAGTTTTAAAAGTATGACATGGGTCTATTAAACGCCAAGAGTAATACTATTTCTATTTCTATTATTGGTTCTTAATGAAATGTAGGCCAGATCCTCTTAAAACCATGATGGAACATAATTGAAACCTTGGAGTGGAAGAACAGATGGACTATACTAAGCAGTACAAAAAAAATTTGGTGTTTGTTAGAAGAAAAAGCGAGAGGTACCCTGCTTTGACAGACCACAGGCAGTCTGGTATGGGCCAATTTAAGATATTTCTGTATTGACCGCATGTCCTGTGTTTGCTGAGGAATACTTAAGCAGTCAAACACAGCCCTGGCCAATCAGCATATCCTTGTAGAGCTGTATTAAATCAATGCATATCTATGAGGAAAGTTGAGTGTCTCCATGCAGAGGGTGTACAGCACTGCCCCAGGAAGCACCATTAGCAGCCACCTAAGGAGTGACCAGTGGAGGTATCACTAGGCTGTAATGTAAACACTGCATTTTCTCTGAAAAGATAACAGATTCAATAAGTTGTAGTTCTGGTGACTATAGTGTCCCTTTAAATTTGCAATTCACTTTGAATTCTCACTTTGGTTAGTAACCCTGACAATGTTAAAATACAGACACTCATCCTATATGCTAAACTGTGGTCTCTAGTTTCAATTTTTTTTCTATCTAAAGTGTAGCCTACGCATAGACTGGAGACAAATATTCCCTATTTTCAGTTAGTACATGGAGGAAATAAATCATTACCCTATATGTCTACCAGGGCATGTCAGATATTCTATAGAAGATTCAATAACCGCTTGTGATCAGCCAATTACAACAACTTCGATGATCACCCACCACCCATGGGCTGACTGAGTACCATGGGACTTGTTTGTCTACTATGGAACAAGGATAAGCATTAATTCACTGATATTTGACCTGCTGAGTCAGCCTTCAGTATAGCTCAAGTTTGATACACAGACTGCTAGACGTTATGTCCTGTGGCAAAACAAGGCTCAGTCCCTCCCTTTGTACAATCATTTTAAATCCCAATTGCTCACCATGCCCAGCAGCCAAAAGATAAGGCTAAAATGAGAATGGAAAGACAATCCAGATTAAATAAAGCAATATCTTCACAATACTGCCACAAGAACCATTATTTGGCAGGATTTAATATATTTTCAGAGCGATAAAAATGGGTGTTTTACATTTCTGAAATTCTTTCAGCAATCCACTAAACAATACTGGATATAAGTTAAATATATAAATATAAAATGGACTGTGGTCATACATGACTGTGGTAATACGGAAATTGGAAAAATAAAAGTAATGGAAGGAGTTTTGACGTTATGCTTGTATGTCGATTGCAAAAAATGTCCAGACATATACCATTAACAAGTTATTATCCATATGCAGGCATATTTTCAAAAAAAATTTCGATAAAAGTGGCAAAAATTAAGAATACTTACATATTTGTATTTAATTTGATGAGTTCTAAAAAAATTAATATTATCCCCTGCACAATTTATTCACTTCTACTTAGAATAACTCAAGCATCTGAGATAAAAAAAATATACATAACTAGTTGGTCACCTCAACAAACTGTTTGCTACGAGATGGTTTAGGAGCAAGACTTACCCTGGTCATTTTAAAAAAGTTCAAAGAAGGCCGGCTCCATCTGACATCCTCGTCGCGTCTGCGTTTTAGACGGGTCTTTCTTTCATTGAGCACACATGGCTGGGAACGGCACCTCAGCAAGCCCTGACGCCTGATGAGTTCCGGAGTTGAGGTGGGTGTGCTGTTGGCTGAAGGCAAGAGGTCTCCATTCTCCTTGATATGTTCCTGAGAAAGGGAAAGGCGTCTTTTGTGGTTGAAATCACAAGGTCCACCAGAGTTAATGTGGATGCTAGAATTTACACTTCCTTCGCTACTGTCCACAAATCCACTGCTGGCAGATGATGGCCTTGGAACAGGGGAAATGTTGCAGGTGGTGACTGCAAATAGGTGGTTGTTGTTGGACAGGGCATTTGGTGGCAGGCTGACACTTGTGCTTCTCTGAAGGGTGGCAGCGCCATGGCTGTTGCATCGTTGCAAAGTAGTACTACCACCACTGTTGCATCGTCTCTTTGATACAGAAGTCCAAACTTTGGAACAACTGGGTTTCCAAGGTGACCAGCAGCGAGACAGTTCATCTGGCTCAGACAATGACCTGCAATGCCTTTTGGTTGGTGGTGCCAGAGGCTGCCCAAAGCTGTCATTGAGATTAAAATCACTTATCCATCCAGATACCATAGAGTTATTGGAGGACTCTTTCTGCCATTGCAGGCCAATGCCTGAGCTAAAAGGGCACACTCCGAAGGACAATAGGTCATTCTTGTTAAGTTCATTCCTGAGTGGGTAGCCGCTGTCTTTCCAAGGAGATTCATTTTCTGCAAAGATAAAGTATGAAAGAAGACAAAAAAAAAGAAAAGAAAAAGAAAGTTGTTAAAATCTTGCAAAATCAAACTTAAACATGCATTACAAAATAGTGTTTTGTACAGATCAGTAAATTATGGAGAAAAACATGGGGAAAATCAAGTGCTCACAATAGTTGCATCGCTATAGGATGCACTGAATGGTACGAATGGAAATAATTCCAATCTTTAAATTACAGACATTTTTATTTTCTATAAATATTGATATCCACCATCTCCTATCTGGAACTATAATTAATGAATCTTTATAAGGACATGAGATTTATTCTACACCCAGGAACATACAACAGAGGCTAGTCCCAAAAATCGTCCGAAGCAGATCCATTTCACCCATAGAGGCAAAAGACATAGGAATCAATAGGTAAACTGAATCCGCTAAAATCAAATATAGGTAGGCATGGGACCTTTTTGGAAGCTTCACCTATTTACTTTTGTTTGATTTAATGTTTGAAATTTAGTTTTTTAGCTCGTTTTAGTACCAATATTGATTGTTTTCAGGAGCAACAAGGAAGCCTGATTTTTTTTCTTTTTTTCTTTTGTGTCTGAGAGCCACCTGGTTGATTGTATTTTTTTTTTTTTTAAGTGTTACAATAAGAGGAAAAGCTTGAAATATGCCATCCACAGCATTCCGAAATGTTGGACTGTTTTTACTGTGTAAAGCAGCTTACAAAACCAGCATCAGCTATTGAGTCCAAAGCACTGTTAGAAAGCGGCTGAATCCAACAGGCTCTGAGGTTGAATTTTCAAGTCTTCTTTCCATTGCATCTGATTTGTTTTTTGTTTTGTTTTTTTGTTTTTTTAAACACCACTGTATACCTAAGTTCTCTTTTTAAAAGAAATGAAACAAATCTGCTACGGTTTCACAAAAAAATACTTACCATTGATTTCGTAGGGGAACAAGCTGCCACCTTTGTTCAGCTTCTCAGATGAGTGCTGAAATTAACCAGAGAAAGAAAAATTCAACACTATAAAACAGCACCTGGTGTGGAATACACCATCAGACACTTTGAGCCCCACTGTGATTAACCCTTTGAGTGCCAGAGGGGTGCCCAAAACATTGTACTGCAAGGGTTGAGCGCACACATCTGGCACTCAAAGGGTTAAACAAGGTGGAAGTGAGAGGAGTTCTGTTTTTTGTATATTTTAAAGTATCCCAATTTTGCAGGTACATGGAGTTAATTTACTGTACACGACTAAAATGTCAATTTTCACAGGAATATAGAGTATCAATAATGAGAGATACTAATGGAATATACCCTTTTGTTAGTTACATTTTCTACTATGTTACAAATGACTATTTGCAAGGGTAAACTGTAAATTGGTTTAAATCACATAAATGTTTGTGGCAAATGTATATTAGTAAGCTGTTATACAGGAAATGAGTCTACAGCACAAACCAGGATCATTTCATATTAACCCCTTAAGGACACATGACATGTGTGGCATGTCATGATTCCCTTTTATTTCAGAAGTTTGGTCCTTAAGGGGTTAAAGTCTAATGTTGGACGGTTTAAATTAAATAGATCTTTTTCCACAGTAAAGGAATTTTGGACACAATTCTTTATTGACAAATGAAATGTGTGTTTTTACCATCATTTTATATTAACCAATAAAATATCACGTTTTTTAAATGAAAATTGTGCATACTATTCATTCAACTCTAAAAGAAATTAAAAAAAAAAATGTAAAAAATAAATACAATTCCTGATATTTTAGATCTTTATACTGTACATTGGCTCTGGTGCGACAGTGACAAACAAAACATGCAAACTCTTACTAAAGGACAAAAAATAAGCAATTTGATTAACGAACTTCCTTGAAAATCCTTCAGGACCTCCATATATTTTTCACTTCGCCAAAAAAGATACTATTGTTCAACAACTTCCTTTCCACGGATACTATTCTTATTTTTTTTTTTTACTCTCAAACGTAAACTTCCTTAAAAACGCAAGACCTTGGGGTACTCTTTTTCAGACAGTCAAGTTCGAGGAATAGAAAACAGAATGCAACATTAACCCCCAGCTACAGAATATGATACTATAATTAAGAATTAAACTCGAAGGAAAAAGAAAAGTAAAACAGGACGATAACATCCAGAAAAGCACATTTGTATGTTTAAAGGTATGCTCCTAGCAATGAGTGTAATGTAGATAAAAATCAAGTTAGAAATGTAGGCTATTGTGTTTCAATATACTCAAGAGAGCATTTGATTATGTACTGGTAACCATATGTTGTAGCAACTGAGTTGTTTGTACAAACCACAGACGAGTGTTAACCGATTAGTGACAAAACCTTTGCTTCTTCACGAGTAACAAATTCTATTTAGTTTGGAGCCCAAACAGTGTAAAATGCAATACATCCCTGCAGATACGAGGCATTCTACAATTAGAACAAACACACTGCATAGGACGGGCCGTTACCAATCAGGAATTCTAGACTGATTTTAGATCCTAATACATGGATAGTCAAACCAATAGAGTGGATTGGGAGGAGAATATTTTTCTTTCAGGTGCTCCCGAACCTACAATATGAAACAGATAGTTTTATATGGCAACAAAATGCCATAGGATAGGCAGAAAATTTACTTCATTCTATAAATTGAGGAGAGTCTTGGGCCTACCACATTTATATATCCATTACTTAGCAGTCCAGACAGCAACGTGGCTTTTGCCCCGACACGAGACGGTGGGTTACTCTGGAGTCTTTGTTCATGGGTTCAGATATGCCACAGTTTTTGATTTGGGTTTCTAGAGAAGACAGACCTTTTCTGCACACCCAATGTCTGGCCTTTCTTAATTCTGTTAGATTGTGGGATACTCTCTGTCCTCTAACCCTTCTCCTCTGACTCCGACTTTACGGAACAGAGCATTCTTTCCAGGTTTGAAGACTAGGTAATTAAGGGTTTAGGAAGCACTGGCCTTCAAAGATTTATGGACTTATCGAATAACACTACAGTCAGATCATTTGATTAATTAAAAGAAATAGCCCAATTATCTTCCGATAAATACAGTTACGTGACTTTGCAATGGGGGACACAGTTCGGCAGGCAGCTCAGAATCCCCACTTTTTTTTTTTTTTTTTTAAGAATTTGTATAATAACTATTTATGTTCAGATAAGGGGTTGCAGAATGCTGGACACCATATGTCCATATGAGGTAGATATGCCCTAAGGTGGTTTTTGTTTGGGGGGAATCAAGGATCTATCAGCAACAATGTTGCACAGACCTGTTAATTTGGATCCATGGTCTTTTCTGCTTGCTAAGCCAGTAGAAGGCTTTACATGTACAAAAGTTATATAACAATACCACCCTGGCATTTAGAACAGCGCTGGCTTACATGTAAATGAGGATTCAACTTCCAGGGATGGACAGGGTTGTGGGTAAAATAACGGACACGTAACTTATGGATAAGCTCTCTGCTTAAGTATGGAATCATGGGAAGAATATTAACTGTCCCCTGGGTTGGTTTTAATGCACGGTTTATTCATGCGATGGTAATAAGCGAATTATTTTCAAGGAAATTGTTAAACCGTGTTTTTATGTTCATTTGTTTAAATTAAAATTGAATAACTGCCTCAGTCAAGAGCATTGCAGCACATACATACATTGTATCATGTAAACAAAAGATATAGGTCTTGCTAATTGCTTGGTATCTTATGCCTGTGATACATACTATTGTTTACCATATGTGTTGACTTGTTCGCTATTGCTATTTTGTCTTCTTACATGCAGCCATTGGCTAAACTGATCTTTTGTCTTACTGATTGACAGCGTTAAATAAAGAATTTAAACAGAACGAAAAAACGTATGGAGGATTTCGGTCTTCCTAGCGGATAGTGAGAAGACCATAGCCTATGAATTTAATTAGGGATCCCACTTCTAACATGGCTGTATACACTAAAGAGACCATCCTCTGAGATACCGCTCTACTAAACCTTTTATATAAATAATATGCAGATTTTCATAGAAAAGTGATCTTAGAATATTTACTTCAAAACCCCAGACAGGACTGCTGAGTTTTCTTCTTAAGGAAGTAACTAGCTCACTTGCTATTGGATAAAGCTCATTTGGAAGCTCCTGGGCCAAAAGGAATCTATAAAGTTTTTTTCCTATGGCCTTTGTAGGCTTTATTACTTTACAGTGTTAACCTACTTACCAAAACCATCACCTTTTCGAACATTAGTTTTTATTTCCCCTGTTATAAAAACTGTTAAATCAACAGCAGTGTTACACAGGTTAAAACACAATTTGTTTTTTGGCCATCGAATGTCGTCCACCCACAATTTCCTGTGAAAGGATTTGCCTAGCGTGATGAATCAGCATTTAGTGGGTCACCAAGTGTAGTCTTATACGAGGATCAAAACTTTGCAGTTAATTTAAGATAGTGAGAAAATTGTTGCGCTGTGGTAAAAAATACACAAGCCGGATGGGCACACTGCAAGTTTTTGCATCTACAATACAATTAAATATTTCCACTGCACATAGCAAAATATACTGAAGTGAATTAAGTTTAACGCAACACAGGATATCCTATCCTAAATGAACACCCAGCTATCAAAATAGCATTATATGCTCAAACCTACCCAAAAAAAGTCAAACCACTTTAAACTCTTATTACTCCAAAATGTGCTAACAGATGTTGCCTACTGTACCACAGCAGTTGCAGGTTACTAGAAATATGTTTTTTTTTGTGAAAGATGACCTCCAACAAAGGATTATTTTATCCTTCATGTTACATATGTAGCTATGTCTGAGCAACTTAATAGTTTGTCTTTGATTCTTAACCATCAAGTTTCCTGGAAAAGAAAGTTTATATTTTTTTTTATAACATGCCATAGCTAGCCATTATATTTTTAAAGCTTAATGCGTCTGTCCTCTAATGACTCTAAAAATGTTGATGCCATGTGACTTTTGTCTAAGTTGTTTTTCGTCACGAGCAGCTCTTTAGCGGAGTCCAACAGAAGGACGTGCAAAAATAGTACTAATGAATGACAAACAAGATTTCTGATTTGGTAATGGTTAAACTCTGCTGTAGCATTCTCTATAGAAATGGATGAATGCCCTTACAAAGAAGGGGATAATCACTGCTCTGCAGGGTCTTGCTCTGTGACGGGAGGAAGAGGTTGATAAGCCATTGCCTGTCAGCATGACTCAGACTGGTTAACGTGTGCCCTTCACGCTTCTGTCTGATGGAAGTGAATGGTGACGTGTCCATAGTCCACAGGCCAGCCTCCCTAACGTGTGTGTCCATTAGTTCATCAAGTTCCCTAAATTTGTTTGGTTTTTTTACCAGCAGGTAATCCTTGCATATATCAGGTTGAAGGTGAGCAGACGAGTCAGATTGCAAAAGAAATATTCAACGAGATGCCTGGTTGAACAAGGTTAGGTTAAAGAAGTAGAGCCAATTTGTGACATGACATGGAATAGGTATATATTTAAAACTATACCGTAGAAACGCTTTTCTCGTTTTTTTGGTTTTTTTTAAACTGACATTTGTTTGTTCATGTATTTAAACAATAACACAAACTATCCTACATATCTGAATGTCTCCTGTGGATTTCTTGAGGCATCTGAAAGTTATCTCAAGGAAGTAGATCATTGTCTTCTGCAAATGTCCACCCAAACCAGGCGCACTAAGACTGCTTTGTTTTCCGTTATTTATTGAGCCTAGCTTTGGACAATGAAGATCTGCTTGGCCTGACCTTCACAGTGTGAAACTATGACAGGAGTAAAGGAAAGCAGGCCTTGTATGAGCCAAAGTCTTTGTATGTGCAAACCTTGTGTGTGCAAACAATTACTCTGTTTCTATCACCTACTTCATATTTATTATTTTTGCAAAATGCATATTCTTGGTCAAGGTTTTTCGCTGTTTACAGATTCAGATCACATTTTTGGAACCTGTCCAAACAATTCATAGTAGGGAAGAAGAAGTGACTAGTCATTTAGTGAAATCACTTATTACAAATTACATTAGAGTGGCAGATGTTTAGCAACGCATTGCAATAAACTGCATGTCCCTGGCTTCTCAAATGGGTGATGTGGCAAGACCAAATATATCAGTGGTATAGCATTTAAAAGCCCAAATGTAATTGGGAGCTTCTGCATAAAAGAAAAGCAGATGTTATAATTCTATTTAAATTTAGCAACTTAAAGGGACAGTGAAGGCACTATAAACCTTTAACGGCATTGGATTTTCAATAGTGTCTGGGGTCCCCTGATAACCTTTTCGACCAGTTAAATAAGGGACCTTGAATTCCCACAGCCGCTCACCCATTGGAGGTATGGTTAAAGATTAGCTTTTATGTCTGAATATGCACTCTGATAGGCTGGAAGCGGTCACCTGACACAATAGTCCAATCAGAGCTGCCCATTTTGGCTCAGGGCAATACTTCCTCATTAGCCCAAGTAGCTGCTGGCGGAACCATTAAAAACCGTTTAATGCTGAATAGTGGAACAGTGCCAGGGGACTCCAGACACTATAACCAATTCAATGAGTTGAACAAGTTATGGTGCCCACAGGGTCCCTTTAAACCAAACACCCTATATTACAAATGGATGGACAGAAGTTTAACCTAAAATAAATTCCATGCAATGTCTTTGAAGGTCGAAGTACAGTCCATTAATGGAAGAAAATATTTAATATTGCACATTATTATTTCTACTGCACTCCCCGATTCACCAATACTAATTTAGCCTGTTTACATGTGATTAATGCTCACAGCTAACAAACGGAAAAAAACGTAAATTTTAATAATTAATAGATGTGCTTGTACTGCAAGACATCATAAAGTAATTAATTATAATTGCAAGGAAACATTCCTAGTTTAAATGTTTATATTTACTGAGCGTTCAAAATAAACCCTTTTCCCTGCGACTTCTGTAGCAAAATCTATCCTATGTACAAACTCAAGTACTCCCAGGAGATAAGTGGAGCTTTTTTTGATCATCTTCACTTTGCAAAGACTTTAACTTCCTTATTCTGTTTTTATGACTCTTTATAATAAAATAAAAACCACAATGGCACCGACGTGACACTGTTGTGTTTAGATTGGTCCATCAAAACAGATAAGAGAATAGCTCGCATCCATGTGGAATGAGCCTACCAGTCATAACAAGAAAAGTGCTTTTGATTTTAAAATTGAAAGAAGCCTTCAGTTTGATTTCTGTATAAAGTACATAAGAGTTCAGAGTAAAATGAGAGCAGAGCTGCCGGAAAAAATATGGAAAACGCATCATGAGTGCACAAACACATGTGCACTCACCCTTAATGCCCCTTGTGATGTTGATATTAATAAACATTAATCCAACTGTCCCTAGACTGGTTACTTATACAAATCACTTTAAAATGATACTCAGAGTCTACGAGGCATTTCATCTAAGCAGGTTATGTGACACATTCAGTAACAATTACTATATAACAATCTGACAATTTTAACTGAGGAGGCGATAGTCAATTTTCAAGTCGGGTGCTGATAAAACTAGAAATGGCAGCACGGAGCACACAATGTCAGTAGCCAATCAGAATACGCAGTTTGCCAAGTAGGTGGCATTATTATACTGTAAGAAAAGGAAAAACGTTCTTCAAGTGCTCTGATAATACTGAACACTTATTACGCCCAAGGAGAGCAAATGTCTTCTATAAATATTTGAATTATCAGAAATGCAACTGTATCGGTCACGACTATAAATATATTAAACGTCACACGCTTTTGTTTCCCTTCTTTTGGTCATTGAAATTCTTGACACACAACTCAATACTAATGTACTGTCTCTGTATGTCAAAAACCTAGTTTACAGGCAGGAGGAGAAGAACACACTGATAGGTAATTCTCATGCCCACACTCACAGCCACTACAGTAGAGTTGCTGTGACAGTTCCTCTTACTAGGAATAATCAGACAGGAGGGAAAGGTGGGTTGCTGTTAGTGTACCTTCCAAAAACGTGAAAGTGTGACAGCACTCCAAGGATTGGGTGATTTTATTAAGTTATTGAAGTTTCATAATAAGTCCTAAAACAATGAAATATAGAATGTATCTTTATAATACATCCATTGCTGATGAAGGAACCATTTTAAATCTTTACAATGAGCTTTTTTAACACATTCAGGAAACAGGAAATAGAAAGTGGCTTATTTGGATGTCGTGTTCAAAATACCCAAAGCATAGCAAGTTTATTTGCAGTCTTACATTAACAAAAAAAAAAAGTTTTGCTTTTTTAAATCTAAAAACCATTGACCTATTAAAAACATGAACACAACAAAGGTAGTACAGCCACTACAGAATGTTCTAGTGATTGATGCAATTTTTTTCTTTCACAGATGACAGCTCCAACTTTATCTAGCTCCTCTAAAATCTATTCTCAATTTCAACTTTTCTAAAAAAAAAAATTAAAAAAAGGGGGTCTGGGTACACTTCAAGTCCGTGATTAATAATTTGCTGGCCAACATAAATTCACACCAGGCATGTAGCACTTCTTTGCTTATCCAACTGTTGAAATGTAACTGAAAAAATAACTTAATTTTGCAGAATATCGATGTGCATAATAATATTACATGCTCAAGTAATTGCAATTTGGTGTTTGGATTCACATGATCATTAATAGATAAAGGCTACAGTAAAAAAAAAAAAAAAAAGCCCCAAAAGTAGGTGGTTGTCAATTGGCTCCCTGACTGCTTTTTAGCAGCGCTGTACAGATTGAGCCATGCTGGGGCTCCTTCACATGTAAGGGGTGACTTAATATTTACTTTTAATACTTTTGCATGAGGCAGAGACAGTGATTAAACCTGAAGAAATTTGTTTCTCTGCCGGGCCAAGACAAGTATGGGTACAGAAAAAGGGAATGTGTACTTTAGCACATCTAATCAAAAATAAGTGTATTTACTCATATTTTGGGACAGTAGTTGTTAAGGATTTCAAAACAAGTCTGGGAACATATAATAATGAAGGGAATAAAATATCTTGTTTTTGACTTGTAAGAATACCTTGACATTTAGTTGTTATTCAACAATCATATCAGTGATCAGAAAACAGCTTTGGAGACCAAGAACTCTATACTTTGCTGTGTTACTATCTCTGCCTCTTAAGGAGCTTCAAGGCACACTTTATAATGACTTATGCTGATTGCACGGATTATAATGCAAACAGTCACCATGGCTATTGATGCCAGCTCAAGTCCGAGAAGTCCTGAACAGGAGCCCCTATATCTTGTCTTTGTCTGGGACATGTGACCATACATGTATATCTTTCCATCTCTGTATGTACAAGCACATGTGACAGGCCTGCACGTATGCACAATAGAAGCACCTGCAGTCTCATTTTCTGAAAATTATATTCTGCTGAGAAGAGTTTCTAACAGAAATGTTTAAACAAAATGTAATATGGAAGGTCTACTTAAATAAAGAGTAATGGACTCATTTTAAAAGATGCGTAACATTACATTTAACGTAATAGACCTTTTTATTTTTTACGAAGAGTGTTGCATATGTTGTACCAGATGACATTTATGCAATACTATTATGCCCTTGTTCATCTTATTTTTAAAAGTGAGGTCCTACTGGTTAGTAAAGCTAGATTCAGCCAAAAAAAAAGAAAAAAAAAAAAAGACGCAATAGTCTCATTGAAAATGACAGATGGGGCAAGGAAGGATCCTTTGCAACATTAAAAAAACGAAAGAAAAAAAAAAAGTCTTTCAGTGCAACAATGACTATTACCCATGCTTCGGACCGAAAGGTAGCGACACTAGCATGTATCTTAAAAAGTACTTTTTACATTATTTTGACTGCATTGTAAAAATAACACTTGTCTTCTATGTAAAAGAAGCACACATTTTATTGTGGTAAATTAATAATCAATACTGTTGAGGTTCCTGTAAGGTAATTTACGCAAGAGGAATGTGCCAAGTTATACCTTATACAACAGAAACCTAAATCAGTAAACTTATTGATCACATGCTCTGAACTTTGTAAAAGAGATGAGTCAGCGAATGTTACGTACCAGACTAATATTATAGGTTTTGCATGACAGATCGTCCAGGGTCTGGTTTTGCAGCTTTTCGGTTATTAGTGTTACCATGGTAGTTGCCCCTTCTCTGCTCGTCAATCCGATGTGCATCGATCCCAATGGTTCAATACTGTTTAGCCATTTCATTTGCAGATTAAGTTAAGCGGCTCTTTTCTTGTAGCGGAGGGAGTTGCCTTAATTCTTCTTAGAGCTGCAAATCATTGTTTTCATCTGCAAAAGCAAAGGGGGCTTTGATAAGACAACGGTACACTCAGCCACAAATGGATTATCACACAGTAAAGCAGGAAACATTTCGGCATAGCTATAAGCTTACATTAGACCAACGGAAGCAAGGTGCTACAGAAAATCTAATTGTTTCAGAAGTTAAACTATCTACGCTAAGAATATATCGGTAAGCTCTTCAATGGGTTTTGTTGTGACCTAAATTAAAAAAACAACAACTTTGAATACATTAGTAAAGCATTTAAACCATTTTCACAATAGTGTATTTCAATTCTTTTTCTCAATATATTTTAATGTGGGAAATTATTGTTAAAGGAACACTATAGGGTCAGGAACAAAAACATGTATTTCTAACCCTATAGTGAAAAACGCACCCCCCCAGCCCTCTAAAAGGAATTAGAACTCACTTTATTTCCAGCGGCTTACAGGTCCACCGGCGCTGGCCCCACCCCTGATCTGCCTCCTTGACAAACTCATCAAAATTGCTTATTTCTAGCCAATCTAATGCTTTCCTATAATGAAAAGCATTGAGTTGGCTAAAATCTGCAAGGAGGTGGGGCCAAATGCCATTTTGACCAATCAGCACTTCCTCATAGAAATGCATTGAATCAATGCATCTCTGAGGAAAATTCAGCGTCCCCATGCAGAGCGTGGAGACACTGAACGGCAGTGCTGCCTACTGAGCAGCCCTGCCCCAGGAAGCGCATCCAGTGGCCATCTGAGGAGTGGCCACTTTGAGGCGTCCCTAGGGGCAATGTAAACACTGCATTCTCTGAAAAGGCAGTGTTTGCATTAAAATGCCTGAAGGGAACTATTATACTCACCAGAACAACTACATTAAGCTGTAGTTGTTGTGGTGACTATAGTGTCCCTTTAAGATAAAGTTAAAGACTCTGTAAAAGTAACTGTTAAAACTGCATTTCTTGCCATGATGAAGTAGACTTTTGATAATGTTTAGTATGCTGGACACACAAGGAGATTTATCAAAGTGTTCGGCTCTAAAAAGTGGCGCAAAAATGTAAACGGGGAAATGTCACCAAACAAATGTGCCTGTTGGTTTCACTGGTTTACATGGCGGCAGCCCCACGTTTAGCACTTCATACAGAACATTTCCATACACAGGGGGAAGAAAGCTGGGACTCTGTAAAAACTTTCTGGGACACAGAAATTGAGATTGGGGATCCAGTCAGAAAATGGATTGTACCATAACAACGATCTTGGCTGTGCTCCAAAACCTCATGGCAATGTGAATGTGGGGTCAGACTCAAAGTCTACAGGTCAAACATGTTGAATTTCCAGGTAGCATATGCTGATTAACAAAATCCATACCTTAAAAGTTATTTACGACAAGTGGTCCTCGCTTTGCGACGGCTCGCACTTACGACCAGCTCTCTTGCGTGGAGATTCAAGAGATTCCCCCACGTTAGAGAAGTGGTCTATGTTCGGGGAAATTTCCCTGAACATAGATTAGAGGGATTTCCTGCCCAGGTGTGCTTGTCTATGTTCTGCGAAATTTCCACAAACGTAGACATACACACCAGAGCAAAGAATCCCTCTAATCTAGGTTTGGGGAAATTTCCCCTAACACAGACCTGCACTGGTGTGCATGTGCCTCACTTACCGGTCGGTAAGTGAGGAGCATCTGTACTAAACTTACTTGTCAAGGCCCAGGTACTACAACCAGGTCTATTAATAAAAAACTGTGCTTGACAATTTTCTATGCATTCGCATTAGCTGTTATATCTACAGGTCAGCCAGACCCTTAACAGGAGGGGCTACTCCAAGTTCAATAAATTCCCTCTTCATAGATATCAGTCTAAAGGTCAAAAGAAACACTGGATGGGCGAGGTATTTCACAAGGTAGTAGAAGAGCACAAGGCTGCCATATTAAAAGAAACACTAACGTGGTTATTAACCAACGTGAAAATTGACCGGAATTCAAAGTTAATTCAATGAAAACTTCAAATTTAAGGCCAAATTAGCCAAAGATAAAAGAGAATTGACTTGTAGATTTGTGTTAATTCAGCTAGTTTGGCCAACATTTTAACATTCATTCAACCCTGTAAATGTAAACAAGCCTACTACTAGTCAGAGAAAACAAAAATGTAATAAATTATGAACAACCGCCCTCTATTACACAAACAATAATTTGGCATCTACACAATATTTGAAGATTCCATTAATGTTAAAATATTGAAAACAGATTCCAAGTAAATTACGTGTCAGTGCTGAACAGGCCGACAACTTATTGAGGAAATAACATCTTTGTAAAGTCCCACTGGGCCGGCTGCGAACCCAAAGCCCAAAGTTTCCATTGTTCTTTCACAAATGTATCAATACCAATTCAAATGAACCCCTTGGCAAGAAACACACTGAAATATAGTAATTTGAAATAGTTCTTAGAAGGAAATGCAATGTAGACCCAAAATATCCTTTCATTTATCGATTTTGTAGCTCAATGTGGAGCAATACACCATCAAATGGTTTCTATAGTGATTGCTCCAGATTTAGAACAAAGTTACTTTTTGCGCATAAACGTCAAGGCAGCTTAGAGAGCAAGGAACATCTTTTATGTCCCAAATTAAAGGGTAAAAAACAAAACCACCCGTCTCCTCTGTTGGGAAAAAAAATGAAAAGAAAATAATCTTTTAAACGCCAACAGGTAATTAATAGACACAAATGTTATTGTTCATCCACAAAAGCTGGTTAGATAATTATGGCATTAGCCTTAAGAATGGCAATATTACGAGGTCAAACAGGGTTGGCTGTGTAAACAACCTCTTCCAATGATTAACATTTATATTTAAAAAATAAAATATGCGTGCAGAAAACATGGGAAAACAAGTACAAGAACAGCAATTAAATCACTTAAAATACTTTCAATTTCTTGGCTGCTTTTCCAAAGCTTAAATAAAAGATGTGTAATAAATGTGTTCACTGTAATAGGCTTAAAAAAAAAAAAAAACAAACAAAAAAAATTAATAATAATAATAATATATATATATAGTGAATTACAGATCCAGGTACCCACGACCTATTTTAGTTCAGTTTTAACTATACATATTAGCAAGAAATTAAAATCGAGGAGGGAACAAAGTTTAGGGAGAATTGCCCGTCCTATGTGCCTCTTGTTAGGTGCTTAGTCAAAGCAACAAAACTATAAGAGTCAGCTATATGGGTTTGAAGCAGTACCTGAACTTTCTCTGTCAACCGACGGTTATATTTATTTTGTGTTGGGAGCAGCTAAAAAAAAAAAAAACTAAATAAATTCTTTGATACAATAACGAAACTATACTGAAACATGGTTTGATCTCATTGCCGAACAAAATCAGAATTGAGAAAACAGAACGTTATAAAATTGTGTTACTAAAAAAAAAAAAAATCCCTTTCAGTAATGACATCCAGTAATAACCTTACTATTCCGTTTACAGAAACACGGAATCTTCAACTTCCCCACCCTTCCTTCTTCTACAGACAAAGCTGAGAATATGGTCTGTACTAACAGGTGTGAAGAGGCACAAACACAGCTTTAGATCCTGTACTTAAGCCTACCTTCAAGAGTAAGTTCTGTGAAGTACCTGCAATCCAACAAGCGTATAATTACAGATTAACACGGATTAAAACTTCTGTGTCTACCCTAGGAATGTGAACTGGTTATCTACCAATTCTGCACATGACAAGTACGTATTAATTGGTATAGATGCAATCTATTCAATGATGTGAAGTTCTCTTTTCCCACACACAGCATGGTGGTGAGAAGATGAGATTACTAGGTTTAATCAACTGCTAACTATAGCTTAAACATTTTGGTTGTCACAAGTCAGTCATAACCTGCAAATGGCACCACACTCTGGACAACTCACCACACAGATGCTATGTCTCCAGTCCCTTGTCACTAGATCGGCATGTGAATGGGATAGGTCTCCTAAAAATAATATGTATGGGTACCCACAAACTCAAACATTGTTTAGACAGGAGTCCAAAAGCAGGACTTGCTCAGTTTTTGAGCTATATAAACTGATAGAACACAGGCCCAAATATTATACTGGAAGAGACATGCAGAGGTTGATCAAGGAGACCACTGTGGTCATTGCTACCTCTGAGACATAGGCAAAGTTAGGATCTATGCAAGACTTGATGGAATGCTGAGAATATGCACAGAAGACTTACAGCATGCTTTAACGAGGGCCTGATCTTCATTTAATTCACTCAGGTCTTAAATCTATTCACACATTAGCAAAGTCAAACCATTTTAACAGAACAATGCAGTCTGAAATAACCTGCACATTCTCAAAGCAGCCTGGAGCCAAATTATAGGATCTGACTTAAGACATAATATTGTAAATCAACTTGTGTGCTTTGAAAACATGCTATATATATATATATATATCCAGAGCCTGTTCTGCCTGTTGTGCGTCTGTAAGACATTGTCTTAGCTCACTTTCTAAACTCCATTAAAGGCTACCTAAAAATCATGGCCCTTCCCTTTGAGATTGCCATAATAAAAAAAATCTCTAAAGCCATGTTAAAAAAAAAAAAAAGAAATCATATTTTGTTTCTAAAGCGTAGTGTGGGGTGGCTGGACGCGATGTACAATGCCAGAACCCACAATTTGTCCAGTGAGGCTTGTGTGTCGCACATTAAATTTGCAACTGACATACAAACTATGGATAACAATTATCAAACTAAAATAACTAAGGCCTTAAAATGCGTAGTCTCTAAATTAATCCTCACGGTCCCAACATCACGTTTTATTGATAACCACACTGGACGAACACAGGAACACCTATAGATCCTACAGATATCTGTTTCCGCACTGTTTGTTGAAACCAATCTACGCTTGCCAGATAACCTTAAATTTCTGTATTGAGTGCAGATTTAAACAAGCCGTTTTCGCTGAGCTATCACATATCTGAGTGTTCTTATTGTTAAAGCAATGCATATCTGCATTATCGTCTCTACATTACATAAACAAAAAACCCACAATGCGAAGTAGAAATGAGTCATAACTAGTTTTCTCCCACCCAATGATTTTACGGTCTATATTTTCATAAAGCTTGCACTGGGTTGTGACGCAGTTGCAGAATAAAACCTATTGAAGTCAATATGCTACAGCGGCGGTCAGTAGCCCATGTTTTTCAATAACTACGCCTCCAATGAATTAAGGCTGGCATAGCATTACAGAGTTTGTAGTTCGACAAAAGCTTGGGAAATACCTGTATCAGCCCCTGGGCAAGTGTATTGTTGTATAGATCTAAGATCAGTCAAACAAACGCTATCATACTATATAAGGAAATACTCAATACCGGTTCAGTATTTTTTTTTTTTATGGGCCGGTCAATTCCATAAAAACAAAAGTAGATCAGGTGCTTTGTACTATGATATACCCTCACAGTTCAAATGCTGACTATTACAGCAGTTACGGGAATTAAACATCACGCCCTGCAGTAAAGATTACTGAATAACACTAAGACAGGTGATATGCTACGTGATTTAGCTTTTGACAGAAGCAGTTATCTTTTCAGACGCCTGGCTGCCAGGGTAAACGAACAGAGCAGATGGAATATTGCATTCTGCCTAAAACAAGAAAAAAATAAAAGCCGTCGTAAAACAAACCTTAAATCTCCTCCAAATTCTCGAAGGGTTTATGCATATAAATTATGTTCATCAGTAAAGGCCATTATTTTTCCAGTGATTGTCAGCTTTTAGGCCAAGGACCCTCCAACTGATTTTGAATACACTCAAATGTATAACAATATATACAACCAACATATGTAGTGTACAGTGTAGAAAATGTGGCAAAAAAAAATAAAATTAACACAATTACGTTTTAACGCAATAAAACTTAAGCAAACATGCATTTGTATGCAAAGCTATTCTAAGACTATAAATAAAAAGTTCCCCTTCTCTCGGGGTGACAGCAGAGCAATGGGCCTTCTCAGGACATGTGCAGGCTGGTGAAAGAGATAAGCACACCCAACGGACTAAATTGCCACCGCACCAGGAGATTGCATGAGAAAATAGTCAATACAATAAATACCTTTGTATCTAGAACTTTATGGATAAAGCAGAACAGATTTATAGATGTAAGTTTATAGAATATTATGTCCACTATGTTTTGTCAAAGGAGGTCCTCAACACCCAACAGGGTGTTTCACAAAAATAGCCAAGATGTGACTATGGCCGAGTTGGAGAATTTTTCGAGATCAGCTATTTTTGCCTTTTGAATTTAACTAGGAAAACCTATAATTGTTGATTGCTATTACCTACATAAAACATTCCACAGTATGAGAAGGTGGATCGAAAACTATCCCAAGACCACGATGCCAGAATATTGTTAATGCCATGTGCCGAAATGCTCAGCCAGTCCAATAAGCATTTCTTTATGGGCTTCAATGGAGAGGGGGACATGGGGGAAGAGAAAGGGGGACACAGAGAGACAATACGAGTGAACCCTGAATGCTCTCGGTTTTCTAGCAGATTGCCTGATGGCTGCTTCATCCATGCTTAACACTATACCCTTTCTAAAAAAACACATCCTGAATGCGGGTTCAAAGGGACAGAGGAAAAACAAACCAGCTGATGTTTAATCCATCTGTGCAGACTACGTATGAATGTGTCTTCAGTTGGATGAAATCATAACTTTTCCCTGGGCTATGAGTGTCTGAACGCACATCACACGGTTCTCCCAGGAGAGGGCCCAAGAACATGAATTTCATTCTACTGTAAGTTAAAACTCTATTTTAATTTCTCAAAAGCATGGGGGGGTGGGGGTGGGATCTCTAACTGTGCTGTCATTTTATGGTCCACTCAGGCATTTAAGGGGGCCTGCTGCTTATCTAGAAATTTACCACTGAAAATAAAAATATATGAAAATCACCAATATCTTGTGCCATTTTTTACATTTTGCAACTGCCTTCACAATCCAGTTTAACCCTGGCTCAGCCAGGGCACACAACGCATAAGAGGAGGAGATACACGGTTTGTTAGTATTTGTGAAGTGACAGAGCAATATAGGAGCTTCTGCCGAAATAGTTAACAAAACCTCCACTATTTCAATCAGTCTCAGAGACGATCTGCGCAGCTCGGAGCAGCGTTTTGCCATGCATGCGCACTAGCCTCCCAATGTTTTTTTTATGGTAATGTATTGGATTGGCTGAGATTATCAAACTCGCCATGGATTAGCACTGCGATGGAAAAAACTTAATTAAACTCACCTTTTTAACCCTTGAAGTGCAGGCCCGGTTACCTAGACGGTGGCTAGGGAACTGGTGAAAATCACACAGATTAATGAAATGACGGATTGCTGTCAAATTATCTGGTAACTGCAACAACATTCCCAGCAATATTTGAGCCAAAAATGTATAATCTTAATATTAATTATCAACAGATCCCGGTGAAGTCAATAACCCTGTATGTGTTTTTATTTGTGGTTTGCAGGTCAAAGATTACCGACATGCGACAGAAAACCGTCTACAATAAAAATTATAAGGTGACAATAAGAGCACAGAGGCAGAAATCTTCCAGAATAATTCTGGATTTATCCCTAAATTTGACACTTACATTTCTTTATGATCTAGTATGGTAGACACAGGTATTGCCAACACCCCAATTTTTAACTAGTTCCAAAATAAACTGAATTTATAAGAATTGGAATTTTCCTCATTTAGGGAGGATTTACGGGTACAGACAGATGCTTATCTTTAGAGTCTACATTATGGCCACATGGACATCATGTGAACCTTCTAACAATTATTTCATAGATATAAATTCTAAATGAAACATGTGCCCAGTATATGTAAATTCAGAAAAATACTGCGGTTGTTTCACAACAGAAGCAGAAATAGATACACATAAAACAAATGTTCAAGATGCAGCGGTGCTATGTTTTTGATTTTGGAAAGGAACACATATTAAATGGGACATCTGCCATTGCATTGGTCCATAACAACCTTTTAAAAATGAGAGAGTGGTATGAAGACATTTAAATAGACACTAGACATTTATTTTATCTTTTGCCTATGCGATAGAAGATTGAAATACCAAACAAAGAAGAGACGGCATACACCCTGTAGATTCAGATCATGGGTGCACAGCTCAGAGAGGCAACACTCCCAGCTGTAATCCCAGATGGTATGCCTGGTCCTTGATTCATCTGATTACAGAAGATAAAAGTGTGACTTGAAGGATGCTCATACCTGGGCAGAATAGGGAAAGGTGCCAAAAAAGCATCACAGTCACGGAGGCAGGTATAGTACCTGTCAAGCTAGCCACTTTACCGGATTGTGGTCACTGTGAGAAGCTCGCTTTTGGAAGACAATTGTACAGTTTATACAGGCATGGATGGGTGTGCTGCGCATGCATGTACCCTAGTGTAATGCTCTCTCAATGAATACAATGAGACAGCTGTATATAAACCGTAGGACGTCTTAGTCCTGTTTTGCCACCTTTTCTTGTCAGTATATATTGGGAGCAGAGCCAGCATGAAATAGTTTTTGGGTTCTATCGTTTTTGCATAAACCATGCAACTGGCTTCAATCATAAAAATATAGCCACGTCGGTTGCATATAAATAGCATCTATGGGCCCTTTAATGGCATATGCACTTTACTAAAACCTTAGACATCTTGAGATTACTAGGGTATAATTATATGGGTTACAATTACAATATATAGATTTTAGTTAAAATAATAAAATGTCTGGGTTTGTCTTCTTTGCTTTCTTGGGGTTGAGGGGGAGGGGAGGGGTGGGGAGGGGGTGAGATACAAAAATTCGGCAGTTCTAAAACATATGGGGGCTACATTTTTGGCACCTCTGCTTTAGACATATAAAGCAGTGACCAAAGGCTGAACACTAATGTCTACACAGAAGATGTTGACTCTTAACTGGAGGATCTGACACAGATGTGAGATAGTTATACCCAGAGGGAGCAAACTGCAACATCAGGTTTTAACCCTAACTGCAATGTAGTAATTATGAAATCAATTATTCATTGCATCAATACAAACTCTAATATTTTTTTAAAGGAAAACACCCCAGTCAAAGCAGAAAAGGTAGGCTTCAAAAATAAAATTATATTTTATTTTTATTTTTTTAAACTGCAACCCTACATTTGTGTGTGGGTGCTAGCAGTGTATGATGTGCAGAGTGTGTAGGAGTTGTACTTGCACTTTCAGACAGAGAATCTCTCATTCAATAAATTATAACTGCACTAACAATGGATTGCTGGTGCTGTACCTCAGCGGAACGTTCAGCAAAGTGAGAAGAGGTTAAAATCTCACTAAGTTTGGCAAAGATTTCAGTCATTTCTACCCTTATCCCATAATGTTTTTGACTAGGCCGAGATGAAACTGGCGCTTGCTGCCTACGTAATGTAATACAGGCTGCCAGTGCATGCAAAAAGCGAATTGTCAGGTAAGAACAGCGACAGACCAAGCTAAAAACCATCAAGAAACCATAGGAATATTTCCATAAAGAAAAATACTCTTTTTGCCTCCAGTAGTTTGCCAACGAATTACAGAGAAGTAAAATTTGCATCCGTTTAACCCCATTTACTATAAAGTCTATTCTCCATCAAATCGCATGTCAGGTTTAATAGGTTTAACATAGGTACAGTCTGAAACCAATCCCTCCATTTTTATATATTCATGAACCAAAGTATTATTTTGGGTCATGTGTATAAATGTCAGGGTGCTATATGGTATTTTTTTTTTATGTTGCATTGTCAATGGCCCCACACCTTTGTATGTCTCAATGTAGGACACAACGTGTATTCCATTGTGAACACAGCCATCTTTGAAACGGAGCTGAGAACACAGACACGCTAGCTCCACACATATTTGCATGCACACGAGTTGCTCACAGACCCGTGAATACATGCACTGACCCATTTTTTCCCTTTGATCCGCAGCTTATTAAGTGAACCAATGGTGTCAGCAGTGATGTCAAGATTTTAGGATACTGCAGTTACTAACATTTACGACCTCTCTATTATTGCTCTAAGGGGTATTTTCCACCTAGCTTATGCATTTATAGAGAGAAAAAAAAAAAATTTAACTACAGAGGCAATCAAGCAAATTTTGCAAATCACTGCAGATGTAAGCAACAGGATGCAGTGAGACAGGGGGGTTCCTTGCAACATAAGCAATTCAAGAAACAGATTATGATGCTGGGAGAGTCCCTTTAAATAATTGACATACAAAAATGAAGAGCCAGAGGTGAAGAAGGACATGCTCAAACAAGCATGAAATCTATGAAAGGGATTACATTGAAGTGGTTGTGGTGCAATGCTCTTGTCTTTTTAGTTCTATAACTGAAAACAACAGTTTCGCAGGAACAGCAATGTTTTCACTGCAGGGTTAACACGTCTCTAGTGGCTGTCTGGAAGTCAGCCACCAGGGGCACTTCTGTACCTATAACAGAGTTAGACTCAGACTACCCCAGAGTGCATTTGATTGGGGAAGAGTGTTTTTTGCCATACATGGGCACTGGCCTCCAAAAGCTTCCCTATGGGGAAGCATTGGATTGTCGGAGATCATTAATTGATGAGCTTAGCTTGGGAGGCGGAGCAACATCACAGAGAGCAGGGCGCTACTGGACGTAAGGTACGTAAATCTTACCTTTTAAACTCCTGCAAGGGAGGCTGCACACCTACATAGTTTGGAGAGCCGTATAGCATTAGGAGTACAAGTTTGTATTATAAATACAGTGTTCACTTAATACTCTGTTCGCATGGGGATTTAAGCAGGCTCAAAAATAAGCAAAGAGAAGACCTTAAAGATGTAGCCTGGTTCCCTAACCCAATGTAGGCAAACACCATTCTATGTAGAACTAATAATATGGCAGCATGTGGTTTCCCGTAAACAAGCCTAACCCCACACAGGTCTCATGCACAGGATTTATGCAGGACTAATAAATGTACAGTGCAAATGAGCACAGCACGCAATGACAGCTCAATGTACATTTCAATTTCACAATCCAATTTAAGTAGGCTATTTAGCATTCATGTCAACATCGTGTTATCTAAGATAGTTTAAGGTTATCACAAAGTCATGATGTATCTAGCTGAAATGACGATAAGGAAAACAGTTTCCCTTTTTGCTCAACTGATCAATGAAGACGTGTGTTCGTTAACGGCACAAGTGCTAGGCAACTATCGCAGAAGGCATAATTATGCGTCGTCTGAACAAGGTCATGCAGCAACTCATTCACCAGACCAGCATGCCGCCGCAACCAATCCAGCAACTTTCTGTGTTAAAGAGGCTTCCCGACAACAACCCCCATCACGCCCAGTTTAAATATATATATATATATATACACATACATACACATACACACTTCTTAAAGATTCTTAAAGAATATAAACTTTTTTTATTTAGTATGGGAATTAAAGGCATATAATACCTTTTAAGATGCATGCTCTTTTATTTTATGCAGAGTCCTACTGTGGTGCAGGAAGCAGCAGGCAGGCGGCGAGGCAGATAAGTCTGCCGCCTTAGAAGCTTTTAGATGCTAGTCCATAACCGCAAATATCTTATCTCGTAGAAAATGCATTTATTAAAATTCTAGTAACCTGCAGGGCATACTTAAAAATGGTTATATGCATTGCGGCAATTGTAGTCGTTTTGTCTTTGGTATCCATACCCTGATCTTCTTTTAAATTGATATGGAAGCAGTTTCGCAAAAATGTTGTTTTTTTGTTTACTTTTGTTTTTAGTACATTAGACACCAAAACAAAAAGGTTTCTCACGCACCATGCTGTCCCCAAAATCTGACACTTTATGACATTACTGAAAATTTCAAAAATTGGATTAAGTGGGCTGCATTAGGCATACTGTCAAAACAGAAACTGAGGAGGAGAGAGTACCACACGTCATTGTACTGTAATAGTATTACTAAGTTAGTATTTTTAAAAAAAAAAAAGGCATCACAAGGGATTAAGAGTTCACAATGGAACCCGGCATGGTAGCAAGCTACGCTATTACACATTCTGTAGACTACATCAGTCATGCTGCATCTGCAGTGTATTATGGGAGATCCAGTCCACAACATCTGGAATGGCTGATATTGTCTAACAGCGGTGCAGTCATTAATCAATAATTTACACAGCATGGCAAGCCCTCCGGCAGAACGGAATGCAGGCCTGTGTAGTTTTGTTAATGGAGTTTATAATGGTATACAGGGCTTCATGCCATATACATAATATAACTAAAAGAAACATCTCGTTTCATATACAGCCCAGGGTCTGGAACGTGGGAATAATTTATAAACCAGGATACGTGGTGTTGAATCTAAGGCCTCAAATGTTAGGCCAAAGTGGCAATGGAGAAAAATGTTAAATATGGCTTTTTTCCCAGTTCTTTGGCCTACAATTTGCCGGTAAATCCCCCACAATTCATAGTTTAGTGAATAGGCACCTCATGTCCAGAACTACAATTCCTTTCAACCACAGATCTGTAGGAATTGGATGTCAATGAGTACCAGTTGGAACTTTTGCACACCCTTACTTCTTTTAATAAGTGAAGCAGTTCTAGAACACTAGTATGTTCATATATATAAAAATATAAAATGATTCCTACATAAACACTCCATAATAAAAGGCAGGATAGGTCTGCTTTTACATTACTGGATAATAAAACAAGGAGAGAGGAAATTGTGCAATTTATTTATTTTTTGTTAAGAGTAATGTGGGCTTTCAAATGCCAAAAGGGGCAAACACCATTCCCACCCCTCCTATAACCCCCTAAATTTAAACCGTTGACAATCACCCTGCAGTAAAATAAACATGAACACATGTACAATCTTACAATGTGGTATGGGCTGAGTATGGATTAAATTAAGGCACTTTGCTGCAGTCTGTCTAGTATATTCCCAGTATAAACAGTTCCCATTGCCTCAATGTCAACGCCAGGCTCTGGTTTCTGTTAAACATCCATTGTGTCCCCAGGAGTTTAATTTACTATTTAAAGACTCTCTCCTAACCCCCCGCCCCCCCCCCCCCTTAATTTTAAACTTTCTTTTCCTTATGGAGCACAAAGTATACAAATAATTTGCCTGCTACAAAACAAAAGCCACACAATTCATTTCAGTGTTAAAAATCTTTAAAAGTTTAAGTAAAAAAACAAAAAAACAGCTGGGTAATCTGTAATTTCAAGCTTTAAAAAGAGTAGAGGGGAAAGCATCAGAGTCACAAGATGGCAGCTCTGAATTCTATTGTCTGTCATTTGGGGGGCTAACGTTCGCATCTGTCAAGCAACCCTGAGAAGCTCATAGTAATGTGAGCTCCGACTCGCCTGCCAGCTGGATGCTTCCTCTCACCCTGAGGCCTAGACGCACTCTAAGCATATTTGCACCATCTCTGCCTCTTTCCCAGATACATAACGAATCATACAAGAAGCAATATTACTGCAAACCTTAGCTTACCCATACGTAGTTACATAGGTTGAAAAGAGATATGCATCTATCAAATGCAACCTCTCACACATCTGTTTTATGCTGTTGATCCAAAAGAAGGCCAAAAAAAAAAAAAAAAATACAGTTTGAAGCATTTTCCAATTTTGCAACAAACTAGGAAAATAATAAATTTTGACCCCAGAATGGCAGTCGGACCTCACCTTGGATCAAGAATCTATTATCCCACTAAAAAATTATACCCCTGAATATTTTGTTTTTGCAAGTATTCATCCAGTTTCTATTCAAACAAATGTACAGACTATTAAAACCACCCATTTGGGCAGAGAATTCCACATCCTTATTCTTACTGTAAAAATAAGAAAAAAGCAAACAAACCCTTCCTTTGCCTTATTTGTAATCTCCTTTCTTCCAGTCTAAATGCATGACTTCCTATCCTATGTATGGTCCTATTTATGAAAAGATTTCCAGACAATGTTTTGTATTGGCCCAGAATATACTTATATAATGTTATGATATCCCTTCTGAGGCACTGTTTTTCTAAACTTAAGAGATTTAAATGTGCCAACCTTTCTTCATAACTAATTTTTCATTCCTTTTATTAATTTTGTAGCCCGCCTCTGCACTTTCTCTAGTGCCATAATATCCTTCTTTAGAACAGGTGCCCAAAATTGCACAGCATATTCAATGTTTGGTCTTACCATTGATTTATAAAGAGGCAACATTATATTTTCACCCTGAGTATTAATGGCCAGTTTTACACATGACAATACCTTACTGGGCTCAGCAACTGCTGATTGACATTGCACATTGTTGCTTAGTTTGCTGTCTAATACAATTCCCAAAACGTTCACGTGTGATGTTATCCCTAATTCACTACCATTTAGGGTGTAAATTCCTTGTGCATTCTTTATCACCAAGTGCATAACTTTGAAATTTTCTACATTAAATTTCACCTGCCATTTGAGTGCCCAGTCCCCCAATCTATCTTAATCCCTTTGCAGAAAAGCAATATCCTACTCACATTGTATTACTTTACAGAGTTTTGTCTCATCTCTCAAACACTGAAACGAGACTTTCAGTGCCATTTTCAAGATCATTTCTAAAAACAAAACTCTGTAAAGTAGAAGGGGTCCAAGAACAGAACCCTGAGAGTACCTATTGCTTTGGCTAAATTTCTATTATAAAAACACAAAGGCAACATTGTGACAAGTTCATGAGATCCTGTGAAATTTAGCATAACCTTGTAGAAAGCACAGTCACTTTATAGATTATAAACTATAACTTTCCAGGCCAGTAACGACAAAACTGAATTGGCTTCTATAAAATAAAATAGGGGCAGGTAACAAATATATGATGGCAGATAGAAGGGATAGGGGAGCGTAAAAAAAAACCAGAAACGTTAACAGCTCTTGAATTTAGGATTGCTCGAATGCTTAAGGCAAAACTGACTTTCAAATTCAGGTATAGAAGGCATGAAACATAAGTTAACATGCAGCTTTGACCTAGAACTGTAAAACAAGCTTTATAATTTGGATAAGAACTACAGGCCTCATTGGAAGGGGTTAAACGTACTCCTGTCTCCCACACATACACACAAAATCAGCTTCTCAAATAGTTGTGGTTTCACTTACAGCTACATGAAGAATCACCTTAAACTAAAAAAACCCTGAGGAAAAAAAAAGAAAAGCATTTGCATGCACGTAATATGCACACAATCTGCTTAGCAGATCCCTGGACGTGTTGAAGCATAAAAGAAAATGAAAAAACAGGAACCCGATAATTTTTCACTTTAAATAGTGTATTCAGTTTCTTTATAACTAATTCACGGAGCTAAAATCTGTGAACACACTTTCAAAAAAATAAAAATAATGTTTTTGGGTTTTTTTTTTGTTTTTGTTTTTTTTTACACAAACAATATACACTTCCACATTATTATTATTACTGGTATTTATATAGCGCCAGCATATTCCGTAGCGCTTTACAATATTATCAAAGAGGGAGATTTAACAATAAATGAGACAATTACAAGAAAACTTACAGGAACAATAGATTGAAGAGGGCCCTGCTCAAACGAGCTTACAGTCTATATTCCTTTAAGTATCCCTTTTTATAATGTATTTTTACCACATCAGAAGAAAAAAAAAAAGATAGAAAAATAAATACAATTTGGCAATCTGGTCCTGGGACGTCAGAAAGGCAGCAAAACTAATCTCTAATGGATCTGTGTAGGTTTAATAAGTTATTAATGCTTTAGAGTGGAGCAAAGAGACATAATAAATTAAGAGATGGTTGGGCTAATTACAAGCCAGTCTGTGCCCTGCTAAGACATGATGTGTGTACCTGTCTGTGCAGCGTGCTGCCTTTCCTGGCTGCTCCCTGGCTGCTTCTATGCATATGCCAGCATAACCCCAGCGTACAGAACAAATAAAAAGAACTATGAATACACACACGCCCCCAATCCATCCGAGCCTGCCCCTACCATGCACCAATTGGTCAAACACATGTTGCTTTTTTTTTTTTCCCCTTCCTTTTTTTTTCCTTCCTTTTTTTTTCCTTTTTGCAACTTTATTGCTAAACTAAAAAGCTCAAATCCAAACACATTATCACAAGATGTTCAGAAGCTTCAACCCCATTAACACTGTATTGACAGTTAATTTATAAACACAGAGAGGAAGCCAACTTATTATTATGCTTTAATCAGAGGAATTAAATATCAGAATCTGAAGTGCAATTTCAGGATAGGAACAGGCACTCTATACACTATATATCTATATACACACACACACACACACACACAAACATTCTCTACTTGAAGAGGCCTGTGTTTCCTAACAAGCATTTTCACTAGTATACGCAAAGTAATAAAATGTTACAGCTTCGTCTGATGCCTTATGTGGAATTTTATAATGGGCTGAACACATGCACAACTTTAAGAGAAAGCCAGCAGTCTCACTTGCAGCAAATTAACACCAGTAGTATATGTTTCTAGAAATTCCAAAACACAACACAGCTTGAATAGATTACGCTCAATCACATTGTATCCAAGGATACAGACTTTGTTGGCATTATACAGTTAGCTAAAAACAACAAATCAGGATGGCATGGATTGTGTATTCCTTTCAAATATTTTATGGAGAGATAGACAACACAAGTATATCCATGGTTGTTAAAAGACTGCAACTCCCAGTATCCTCAGCTGGGTGACTAGTAGGCCTAACACATGTTGGGAATCACGGCAAGTCATTTGGCACTAACCTTTTTAGCTACAATATACATACATTACACTTATGGTCTATGGTCATTAATAAAAACTAACAATATGACAAAGTTCTGTAAGTACAGAAAAATAAGGCACTGCTCCTACTGATTGCCCCATATTTGTGAAGCTATCTTAAAATGCTCTTTATAAATAATTCCATGTGTCTTAAAATTAGCAGCTGTTCACTATACTTAAAAAAGTAATATTATAAAGCCTTGTCCTTAAAATATTACTAAATCTGAAAAAAAGGGTGCCTATAAAAATAGTACTCCCTGTGCATTTTAAATTGAACAGTTGTAAAAATGCTGTAATCACTAGATTTTATCCCATCAAAGGTTTCCATAACAATGAAATGAATATAACTCAGTTCTAAGTACAATCAGGTCTACGTGATTGTAATTCAATCCATTTGAACTGTGATACTCTGTTTTATAAGGTGTGAAGTTTAACCACATGAAGCTATGTTGTTTAAAAAAAAAAAAAAAGCCCCTTGGCCTCTAAAAAAGTAAGCCTTGAAATCGACACAGCAGATTCAACAGAAATCACAAAACGCACAAATGTGTTCAGTGTCTCCTTGTCATCTCAACACTACAGATATAAGCAAACATTTTCTCACGGTCCTTTTTAAATTCCGTGGAGACCATAAAGCATACAGCTCACTGTCTATAAATATATCATCATAGCTGCATTAAAGCGCCACATGCTGGAAACAGGAGAACGTTCTTCGCCAGTCCTACTGCTAAAGGCCAATATGAGTCTATCAGTCAGCTTAAGTGCTACATGAAATATTTACAGCTTCTATAAAACCAGCGGGGACTCCAGGAAATAAAAGGGCAAATTCGCTAAACTGGGAATTGTGGCAAATTTACAAACAACTAGCAAAAAAAATAATAATTGCAGAATCTGAGATTTGTACCAACTTTATTATTCAGCTCTAAAGATCATTTATATGCAATTCACTGTTTAGGGAAAGAATCTGCTTAATCATAGACTGACTCACTCATCTACTTTCTATCATTTTTTTAAACCATTTTTCAACACCATCAGGGTTAATCGCTAAACAATGAATTGTCAGGAATTCAAACTGAACTTCAAATCTTAGGCCAAAATTGTTGACTTGAGTTAGCAATGTTTCCATTTTGTCTATTTGGCCTAGAATGTAAAATTCACCTAAAATTTACTCTGATTTCCTTATTTCGTAAAAAACCTTTTCAGTAAAACGTTCTAAAACTTATGAAAAAAAGTTTCCAGTTCTAATGTTAAAGATACAAAAATAATTTTTGCTCAGCGGATATTTTAATTTTATTTACCAAATAATTTGTGACAGAAAATAATTTTTAACGCAGCTAAGGGATTCGTATGTTGCAGAGCTCTCACCAATGAAGTTTATACAGTGGAACTTACAGAACAAAACAAAAAGCCAGACAATACACATACAACAAAAGGCCTACAGAAGTCTAACTTATACAGCCAGTCATGACAGGGAGTTAGTACAAATGTTAGTTACAGACACTGAATTGATGGATTCAGCCCTTTCAGTGCAACATCAAGAAGTAGTAAAAAAGTTATTTGGGCCAATAATGGTCTAGGAATTTAAGCCAGTACAGAATGGTTAAAGTTATAGTGACAGGTGTCTGCTGTGACACATTTGTGCATATTTGACAAAAATTAGAATAGGTGTTAGGCTGCACTATTTTAACAAAATCAGTCTGTGGAGAAAACGGGCCTTTCAATGAAATTTCAAATTGTTACCATTTTAATACCGTCCCATTATAAAACGTTAAACAGTTGAATGTACATGTATGCAAAAAGTAAAGACATAAACAAGCAACAGATATGGAGTTACACCTGATTTACCATTATTTTTATTCGGTATTTTTGGCATTCCTAATCTGAATCCTTCTAAAACTAGGAATTCACCTGAAATCTCAAATTATTTCTTAACTCGCCTTCAACGCAAACAATCTACATGAAGATATGAATAGAACTGGATTGGCTCCAACTGTACTTGGCTAAAAACACATGTTCATTGTTCACTGAAAGTGTATTGCTGTTTACACTATACTCTGTGTCTAAGGGGGAGAAGAAGAAAAAATATAAAAAGCTAAGATCTCATTTTTGCTCTACATACATCATAATCAGCAATTTGTGAAAGCCATATAATGTTGCAGTAAATATTTTTGCTTGGTAATAGGTGTGGTGCCCAAAACTAATTTGGAATTTTTTTTTATGCTTAGAAGAACAGACCATGAAAGCAGCTGCCTTGGGAGTTGAGTTACGATAAAGAGAAACTTTAGACTTTGTGAATAATTCCCAGGAAGTAACCTTGTCCCAGCCCTTAGCAAGCACTGTCTAGCTGAAGATTGTACATGGGTGCAGTGGATCAATGGTAACTTTTCTAATCTGATAAAACAAAAATGGCTGCCAAACCAGATGCTTTATAAAAAATTTTTTTTTTTACAAATTAAAAAAATAAAATTAAAAAATATGTTGACTGGAATATAGGTCTGCAGACCACCTGGTTGAATGGTCCATATGACATAAATCTATATGGAAAAGTATGCAAGCCTGTATAGCAATATCACTATAATTCAACAGTATACTGAAAGTCTGTGTGCAGCAGAACACTATATTAAATAAAATATCTGTATGTAAAGACATGTACACACGTGCAAACAATGATAATTTAAACATATAATGTATATACACAAAAAAAATTTAAGCAATAATGGTAATGTATAAACAATCAAAAACATACAAAATGGTAATTTATATAAACCAATTTAATTATGAAACTATAGATACATATACTTTATGGGATATGACACAAATGTAGACATATTACATTCACCACAATGACATATACAAACACACAAATGTCTATTTGAAGACAACAGGATTTGTATTTTTAGCAGATAAATATACATACACACACAAGCACAGAGTAATACAGTGAACGACATGTAAATACATATACACAAAGAGTGCACATATACATTAACAAAGTGATTGCAAAAAGTAGAGAGAAGGCTGGTGGAATACATTTTAGATAGTTTAACATCCTAACTAGAGAGGGGGAGTCCATGAGCCACAAAACCTGTATAAACTGCATAGTGCCCACATGTCACCAGACACCCAGTCTGTATGTGCAAAGTTGCAATCTGTTAAAAGTCCCAAGATTTGCCAGACCAACACATCAAATTACCTGTAGCTAGTCAGTCCCCAGGAAGAAATAAACAAATACAAAGAAATCCTGGAACTTGTGAAACAAGTTTGTGAGAGACAAAGTGATCAAGAGGAAAATTAAAGTAATTATATAAAAAAAAACTCTCTTTGTTAAACCGTTTCCCTTATTGAAAACAAGCTTATACCTTTACTCTTCAGTTACTTGGACAACTTAGAGGGACTGCTGTTCTGAGCTGGACTTTTTATAGATTCGGGCGATACCATATTGCGAGTAGGAGTAGGAGTGAAAGGAATCATATCCTTCTCTTCTTGCTAGCTATATGGAATAAAGTGGTCGGGAAAACACACCAAACACCGACTTGCCAGTGAACAGGTCCAGTGTGTTTCTGTTTCAGTACTGTATGAGCAGATTGCCAGTTGTCCACCCCTCAGAGCAGGCGGTGCAGTGGTGCGGTCCATTTGCAAATTATAAACAAAGAACCTCGTGGGAACTAAGAGAACGTTCAGTGTCTGGCACAGGCTGGGAGCTGCAGGCTGAAGGAACACTACCTGTATGCTCCCAGAGGGGGCAGTGTTACAACTACTACTACTGCTCTGACACACTGCTAGCTTCTGTGTTCTATGGCCATGCCTACATTATTATTATTATTTTAATATTAGTGATAGTTTAACCCCTTCATTTAAATTAACAATTCTTCAGAAACTGGTCACCAGATTGTGGAAATATTATATAGATTATACATTAAAACCACCATCTCCAGAAACACATATTAATAAAAAAAAAAACAATACTTTCCATTAAAGTCATTGAAATTGCAGGACTGGAACTGGCAAGTGCAGCATGTGGCATACCCACGTCCAGAGCTTATCATTCTGGTCTATGTGTTCTTTACTAATAGCATTACAGGAACACTTCAAGCGCCCGTAGTAGTTATGGTGACCCCCAATGTAAGTAGTCAAACCGTTTGCTAACAGTGTCACATTTTACCTGTCGTCGTCTGGGCGCCTCTCAGTACCTCTGCCACTGCAAGAAGCGCTCTGAGCTTAGCCCAGAGGTGCATGCCTTAGCTCAGTGGCTGAGAATGATCACCTGAAGCTCTCAACCAATGAGTTATCCCTGCACTGCAGGGCCTAGTACAGGATCACTAATGGAAACTCCCTGCAGTTACTTATGGCTCTCCATCTAGAAAGTTACTAGCGCCCCGCAAACCAAGCTAACAGCTTACATTAGAAGGGTCAGGGCACTCGTAACACCATAACCACAACAGTGCAGTGTTTTTGGAGTGTCCCTTCAACACCTGTCCGGCAGGGGTTCATGTAGTTTAGCATCTTGCCGCAGTTGTACCACATAAGATAAGTGAACTGGCGAAGATACCAAAAGCAGTCTAAGTGCAGCTGCTGCCTTTTTACACGGCCTGGATTGTGCTTGCATCGCGCATGCTTGGTGACACAGTTTGGGCTCTCACCACAGATAAAGAGAGATGTTTGTCCAAAAGTGAATTGGATGGAAATTTGACTGCAAATAAGTAAATCAAACTCCTGTACTGACATCACTGATCCAAGAGGCCGTCTTATAACGGCAGAAATGTTCATAAATTGCTGCATTTAAATGCCCTTGTGTGCTGTGATACAGTGACAGGGGAACCCTATGCATCATAAACGTTGAAATGATGCAAAGTGGTTATAGTGTTATAGTTAATATAGTGTTTACACTTTAAAAATATAGCATTTTACAGGGTTAATCCAACCCCCAAAAAAGTGTTTTAAGAAAAAATGCTGGTTTTGGTCAGAATAAAGCAAAGAATAATTTTGTTTCCAACTTGAAAAAGTCCTGTGTTGGTGAAATGTGTTGTGGCTCATTTTAATTATTATTTTATTGCTGTTTAAATAAAGGAATACTGACTACTTATTCTCTGTGAGTGTGCCATATACATGTTGTTATTTTATTGCCTAGCTTCCTGTCCATTGTTCCAGTGAGGAGCTCACCAAAGAATCAGAGGTGGGGATAATACCATTGAGTGGTTTGCCTGCTCAAATCAATGTGAATATATTACTTTTAAGTTACTCCTGGTCTGTTTTACTCAAAGAACAATATTGTTGTTCTTTCTTCTCCTTTTATGGGTTTTACGGTCAAAACACTAGGGCAAGGTCTACGGTCTACATCTTTACCAATATCCCCTAAGTGGGGGATCAACGCCTCTGAATGTGCCATTTACTAGAGCTGGTACTAGCTCTACTAAATGTGAGTAAGACTGCATAGATCAAATTATCTATTAATTTGCTGTAACATACTACACCATTGGAGTTTCTCTGTCTTATTTCTATATGGATACAGATCCTAAGAAAATCCTGATTTTACACCCCTACCAAGAGAAAAGACGTCCTCCACAGGACCGATTGTTGTATCCTTTTTATTTCCTTGCTGCACTTTAAGTTTGGACATATATATATATATATATATATATTTCCTGGCTAATCATGGCAGCATATACACATGGGTTAGCTCCTCCCCTACAGCCGATAGGACAGGAAAACCACCAAGGTTTTAAAAGGAGTCTCCATCCCTAAGGTCCTCAGTCTTTTTCCTGTCCTACAGCCCTTAGAACGTGAGCAATTTGCTCCCTTTACTTACGGACATGTATGTTGTTTTATTTTCATTACTTTATTTGCTGTAGTACATTATTCAGTTGTGCTTTTATGCTGTGATGCATTTAAGCTTTGATATCTTTAACCCCTTAAGGACCAAACTTCTGGAATAAAAGGGAATCATGACATGTCACACATGTCATGTGTCCTTAAGGGGTTAAACGAGTGCATTGTACAGCTGTACCTTATTTTTAAGATTGTGGTACATTATGCGGTTGTGCTTTTGCTAGGAAGCATTTAAGCTGTGTTGCATTTAAGCTGTGTGGCATTTAAAACTGTTTCATTTAAATTTGCATTTAATACTGTTGCATGTAATACCGCAAGTCATTGGAAACTGCAGTAGATTTGGAAAACTGCAGTGCATTGGAAAACTGCAGTGCATTTGAAGACTGATATATTTTAAAAACTGTTACATTTTGGAAACTGTTAGATTTGAAAACTGTGATACCTTTTATACCTTGAGGCCTTTAGACTGTGGTGCCTTTAAACTTTGACTGTTTGCACGTGGTTTCCTTTTAAACTTCCTTGCAGGCACTTTTGTTATCTATTTTGCTTTCCCTCGGTCCCAGTGATTTATTCCTGGTTCCCTGGGTGTTTAGGGGCCATGTAGGCTTCAGACAGAGTCCTCTCCCTGGTCTCTAAACCGCAAACACACTCGGAATAGGCCCACATGTGTGCAGTTTGTGCCTTATTGGGCCTAATACAGATGACTTGCATTGTGGGAATACAGGTTGTGGCAGCCATCTTGGATAAGGGCAGAAAGTGCCTAAAATAAAGGGAAAATTATAGTAAACATACCACACTTATTTGATAAGTATTTGCAGGGTCTCGAGACATGGATAAGTGCTGTCTTTAGCCTGTTTTAAAGCAGTTTTGCTGGTTTCTTATAGAATTTAACAGTGCACATTTTTTCTTAACTAAATATTACCTGTGGTAAAGTATTATTATTTGTCAGGTGTCTGATTCTTCACCAGGATCTGGTTATGAGGAGAAAAAAGTGGATGGAATCGGTTATGCACTGACTGCCTCCAGAAGGTTGTCGCTTCAGCATGACCTATCACTGTGCAGCCACATGACATGCGGGCAGGGCTTACAAAGTAAGTTCCAGAGGCCTTAGGGGTAAGAAAAAAGGCCAGGCTTTAACCTGTGGAGGAAGTTATTTCCAACGCCAGAACTACACCACCTAAGTTGCACACTTATGGATCATAGGTGGACGCAGACCTGTCCAAAATTTTACGCCTACCATTACAGGAGGCCAGCCAGCTGTGACTTCCGCTGCTGTTTCTACAAACATGAAATATGTGATTAAAGATCTAAAGGCTACTATGGAGAGAGATATTAAAAGCCAAGATTGAAGAGGCAGTCTGAAGTCTTCAGGTTACAACTGACTTCTTCACAGAAACTTCCCTAGATGTAACTAGGATATCCTCTGGATCAAATGGCTTTATCTATAGCAGCTAAGAAAGCATTATGGTTCTGTTTCTGGGATAATGACTCATTCTCCAAGTCTGCCCTCTACACCATTCTATTTGAAGGGGTGGTGCTGTTTGGGAAAACTTTGGATAATTCCATTGAAAAGGCGAATGAGGGCTGCAAGATATTGGTACCTTAGGATGGAAGTTCCATGGATCCCAGCTCCTCATAGTCTGACCGGAGAACTTCCAGTGACCAGTATTTCTGAGATACAGGGAGATACTGGCCCTGCAGGGAATACTCCCGAGGTAACTCATGGCAGTTGGTAAACCTGCCTTTCAAGGTTCTAATGGAGCTAGAACGCAGTTGTTTTGCTCTTCAGCAATGAAAATATCTCCTCCAGTACTAGGAGCCTACTTTTTCTGATCACACATACCTGGGCTCGTCATACTCTGGAGGCTTGAGTGGTATCCATGGTCCAGATTGATATAGACTGGAGTTTTTCCTTAACGGGCACAGGAGTCTCCATACCAACAGTATTAAGACCAATGAATCCAAAGGTAAAGCACTGAAGGAAGAAGCCTTCTGGACGAAGAGGTGATTTGTTTATTTTTTTAGGTCCCAGAACAAGAGCAGTTCCAGGGACAAGTTTCGCCTCTCTTCTGGTGCTAAGAGGAAAAGCACATGAAAGCCTACACTGGACCTAAGAGGGGCCAGCAAGAGGCTGAATGTTAGAGTCTTTGGGATGGAGTCAATCAGATCCATATCTCAAGCAATCTGGAAGGATAATTTCCTTACCTCTATATATCTCAAGGATGTTTACTTTCAGTCCAATCTGCAGAGATCTTTGGCATTAGCTCAGAAGAGAACTTCCATGTTAGTGCCCTACCATTTGGCCTCAATGCTGCCCCAAGAATCTTTCTATGTGCTTATAATGTTATTGAGAGTCCAGAACTCCACCTGGTTCCATTATCTGGAGGATCTACTTCTGATAGCCTTAGACCCTCAGAAGGCAGGCACACATAGGTATATAGTTCTTTCATAACTCCTAAAGTTTGGCTGCTTGATGAATATCAAGAAAAGCAGTTTCAGACCAGCTCAGTGGATGACATTCCTGAGTGGAAAATTCTAGGCTCTGCTTTTCCCTATCTCGGGAACAGTTCCACAGATTATAAAGGTTTTCTCTCCCAGTTTCTTCATTTCTGCCTGGTAACCACAAGAAAATAGATGCAACTACTATGAATCCTGGTTTCCATCAGCAGACTTGTCAGATGGGCCCAATGGCATCTCTGGATTCCTTACAGATCCTTCCTATCTTGGTCTAACAAGAGAAAGA